TGTTTACTATTTCATAAATTTTCTACATATTTAAAAAAAAAACAGAAATTTTAAATGTATAATATACATGTGGGTAAAATGAAAAGTACAATGGTAAATTTGCATTCGTTTAAGATTTAGAAAATTATCGTAAATTTTTAATGTACCTACCAAGGGTTCGAAGAATATTTTGTTTTAATGTGTACAATTATTGGCCGATTCTGGAAAATATATTTCAATTTGGAAAATGTATTTGTATTTTTAAATACATCGATCAAAATGTTTAATGTAATCGGTTGTTGCTGTTTTGGGTTCATCACTCGAATGATTTGTACTTTTGACGGATTTATTTCCTAAAAATTGCCTTTTATCTTACTAATTTTAAATTAGTTTGTTGGAATATTGTTTTTTGATGCTCATCAATTAATCAAATTTCAAATTTCATTAGACGGCTTTAAATATAATTCTAATTTTAATTGTTCAATTTAAATTGAATTTATAAGTGTATCTCCATTACTATAACTTTGAATTTATTTAAAAAAAATTTTTAATAAACTATAAATAACATAAAACAGACAATTTATATTGATCTGGGTATGGTGATCCGAGAATTACGTTAGCTATGAGGACATCTTGTTAATTTTATGAACGTCTTCGATTGTCTTAGCGTTCTTTAATTTTATATGCTATCATGCTATCAATTTTATGCAGCTATCATGTTGTCAGAACAGAACAGTCAGTAGTGGTCATTCTATTAATTATTTGAACCACGTTATGATAAAGTATACTTGAAACCAAGAGGAAAATGATTGACGCTATGATATTCATGACCAATACTTGATATTTAATTACTTGTTCGGGATGATAGTCGGTCATCACGTATGAGTATATTTTTTCAGGTGTGGTCAGCTTGAAAGCCAATGATACCGTCATGACCCTTAAGGCTGTGGACTTTTCGCCGAGCACTAATTCGATATCAAGCAGTTTATACAAATTAATGTATTTAAGTTAAACTGGTCATGGTCATATCTCGAGTCGCCGATTTCCAGTTTATCAAGAAATTCATCTTCGAATCGCACGTATTCCAATAGCACTTTTCTCATACTATTTACTTTACACGACAAATGATTACTTATTGAACTTATTGGCATTGCCCAAGAGGAAAGCTCAGCTTACCATGACATCAAAACTTAGAGTATAACAATGCTCGATCATGTACGCCTCCGCCTGTTTCATTATGTAAATGTGAGTTTGAGTGAGCTTGTCGATTGCCGAGTTGATGGATTTGCTATGATCCATATTCATAAAGTAATCATGTCGTTATGCAAGTATAAATGTATAAATGTGTAGACAATAATAATGCTGTAAAATGTTTGTTTGTAGGTACATTGATTTTTTTTTAAGTAAAAAATGGGGGTTAAAAAGTCCTGCACAAATTGTTTATAGGAATTCAGCTGTTGTGTTTTCACATATTTCAATAAACACTCGTTAAGCTTTATCATTCGGTTAGTATCAAAACTTTCGTTGTTTTCTATGCTCCAATTAACCCCTTGGTCCGAATCGCCACATTTATCCACTAAAAATTTAGCACCCATAATGAAATGGTAAATTTTACTTGAATAAGCACAATAATACAACACGGTAAACACTATTGTGCGGTCTATTAATTGTCGGTCCTAAGCACGCTACTTTGTAGTTAAAATTCGTTTAATAATGTATACTATTGTGTTAATCGATACAATTAAAAAAGAAACAAGTTGCCGCGAGAACGTTATTATGATAATATTGCTGTATGATCATGATTCAGTTACATATTTTAAGCGAAACGTAGTTACATATATTCCCTAAACCTTAAGTTAAGTTTATTTTTATATGAAAACCCTGCAAGATAATCATAGACGTGATGAATGGATTGACGATAAATTATCATTTTTATACTCTTCTCGTCTGCCAACCGCAGCAATTTAATCCTATGCGTTACTGAACATCATCAAATGAAAGCGATATTTTTTTTAATGAAATCTTACGCTTAGTAAAACGCGGAATAATAAAAAATATTACGGCAACCGTAGATGAAAAAAAAAACAGAAGAATCGTGGAAGTATTTCGAAGGCGGAAAGTTTCCATTAGGCGAAAACATAATCATTATATCGCTGCTCATAATATACCTATAGTGTGCTTGTGTGTGTGAATGTATATAAATCATACTCGTAGTTGTTTTTGTTTTCTGTTTGGCGTTTGCGATAACCGAAAGAAAATCGTCTATTACAATTTTTGACACAACTGACCGAGGTTTTCTGGTACGACATGGGGCATATGAAAAAATAATAGAATGAAGCCGTCACGCATTCTTATCGCGAAAAAACCGGGGGCCAAAATAATTGAATAAGTATATTATACAAAACGAGCAGGCTGTGGTCAACAGCTGCCAGAAGGTGCCAAAAGCCGTGTACATCCTAAGTTTTACCGTTCACGTTTTATAGCTGTCGGATAACGATTGTAATTTTCGAACCGATGACTTTGAGAAAATGGAGATATAAATATATAAACGAATAATTATATTTATTTTTTTTCCCAAGCAATGCAAATTCTTGGACTTGCTGATATTAGCGGATTCGAAAATAACACCAAGGGCTTTTGTCGCTGTCCGCGATGTCAGTAGTCTTTGAACACAGAACACAAGTATTACAAATAGCGATAAAGCTTGAAACGTTTGGCGTGCCAGTGTTAGATACGTTAAGACGTACTGACAGACATTTACACTGATACATTTATTAGTGATGGGTAATTAATTTGACTCCCCTTTAAATTGTACAATACTTTTTATTGCTATATTTAACAAAGTCCTCAGTTCTAATATTTAAATACGAATAGAAAATTATGACAAATTTTCAGTTGATCAGAATTACGTAACGAAAACGGACCGGTGAGTTACCGGCTTGTTATTTATGACGTTTGGCTATCTTACAAACTATAAGTTTCGTAATATATTATGTACCTACCTAAGTAAACAAGTTACAGGTACAATAGTCAATGCTTATTTTTAGGCATATAGGTTCAGCGTCCACTAACAGACCAAGTCGTGGGGTAATCGCCCTTGGCGCGTTTGAGCTAGTTGGTTCAATCATTTTTCAAAACACTTTTTTGAGCATGGCTTATTTTTAGGTAATTATAGCGGACTAAATTGCATAATTACCCGGGCGGACATTAGACGGTCCCTATAATATAGATATATTATTACTTTTATAATTAGGAAATTATTGAATTTGCGATTTATATTTAGACCCATTTCGAGACTTATCTAGTGAAACATTTTTTAAATAAATGTTTTAAAATATGGTTAAATATATTGTTTTATATGCTGTCCAGTGTCCACCAGAATAAAACGGTGATTTTCATTATTAAAAACACAATGAAGAGTATACATTTTCTCAATAGGTGAGCGCAAAGCACTTTATAAATAATTACGTTTTAACAGAAGACATACATTAACGTTATCAATCAATTCAGGTTTTTAAAAATGTATGTATAAATATAAAAAGAGAATCCGACCACGCGAATAAAAATTCGCCAACGCTGCAGATGCGCACGGACAAGCGCCAAACTACTTCCGACGGCGCGTCTTAAAATCCCACCATCTATCCGTAATGTACACCATGTGTGTCAGAACATAATTTGACATTTCTAGGTCGAAAAATACCATTTTATTTTGATTAAACTGTTTAAATAGCGTGTTTACAAAGGTTTGCACAGCACAGCAGCTCGCTGAAGTTTTTGAGTCCGCTACCTAATGCCAAAATGTTCGTGCAATGTGGTATACATCATAATATATCGTTTAGCTTAACTCAAACTTCAGAGGCATTTAACGATGTATAGTGTAAAAACATACAAAGTTTAAAACACACAAAAGCGATTTTCAGTAACAATTGTACTTTCAAAAAAATTATGGTAGAGTGTAGAACTAGAACTTGAAAAATATTTGCAGAGGACAAAAATAAAAAAGATACGATTAAATTATTTAAACAGCTGATTTAGGTACATACCTAATTGGTCGGACAAAAAAATTATATACTTTAAAACTATTACAACGGTATCGTTTGATAAATTCATGTTATATATAAAAATTTAGAAGATTATCGTGGTTTTAGCAAGTTCGGACTTGCAAAAAATAAAATTAACTGGTGAGAACGGCCATAAATCGTACAGTTTCGAGCGTACAAAATAAAACAGTCAAGCAACAAGATATAAACATATGGTATGTGGTTTAATAAAAAACTTTGAATTCGACCTCCGAAACATATCTTTAGAACAAATGGCGAGAAATATATTATATTTTGCACACCTAATATTATACAGTAGGTATGTTAGTATGTATTGTTTTTTAGCGATTAGGCTGTACAGGCACGGCGACAACGTCAATCCTATTTGAAGCTTGAAGGCGATACAAAAAGCCAGCTACAAGTATACTATGCACAATTAGTACTTCATGCTGAAATTGTATTATCAAAGAGGCTTTTTTCTTTGCGCGTCCTTGAAAGTTATTTGTTCAAAAGAAACTTCCTGGACGATGTTTAGGAGTCAATACGTTATTTCTACACTTACGGACGACAGGCTCGTATAATATGATATCAATGTATTTTATCCTTGGCGTTTGTAAAGCATACAATGACTAAACGAAAAAAACGCTCTAACCCGTACAATGCTAATATATGTAGGTATATAATATATTGTTGACGTGTGTCAAAAAAACAGAAGGCAATTATTAAACATTTTTTTGTCTCCGGCAAAACAATTACACACATTCGACTTATCAGCTGTTATATACACAACTGGCGCTAGACTATATTTAAAAAAAAAAAGCATCCCGTACACGTAATTTTAATAATAGATTTCTAATAATTGGTGAGAGAAACCGATTTTACCATAAGCTCCGTTATAAAATGTCACCCGGCAGGCGTAGTTTTTTTTTTAATTACTTTCTTTTGAGTTTTGCCAATATTACAATAAAAGTCAATCGATACCTCTTTAATTTTGTAGCTAGTCCTCCGGGTTATCGTGCGGTGCACTTCGCCCTCGTAAATTTCCTCGACGCTTCCCATGGTGGTGTTGTTTATAGAACTTTTACGTTTATGTAGGTAGCGAAAATGCCAAACGACGGGTAAAAAAATTGTAAAAAAAAAACTCGTTCGCAAGTTAAATAGAATAGTATTATAACGTTGAATGACAATACTTAAGAATGAAAAGCCCGAGTTAATCACACTCGCGAGCACCGACAATCGTCCGAGTTGATTTATACGTTGAAGAACAAATTTTTTTTTCCACGGTCTGCAGTGGTAGCTAAGTGCTAGCACATCAGTTGGCGCGATATGGTACGTCGGGGCAGTGAGCGCGCGCTTTAGCGAACAACGTCCAGTCCCTTAAAATCTATTTATACACCACACATACGGGAAAGAAAATAACGCAGGCACGGCCGATAAAACCAACACGCGACGTCTTCCTTTTCTTTCGTTGACGCCATTTATTATATTTTTTCCTCAATGTAGTTTCTAATTCTATTCACGTTGTTATCGACATTGTAAGAGCGCCGTTTATTTTTTTTCTCCCCTCGACTACCGCCGGGGTCTTTTTTGTCTCCCGAGCGACTTTCAAGGTTATGGCCGCTCCCGTACGTCACAAACGACGAAGACGTTTCGTTAAAGCCTTAAAAATAACAACAGGAAAACGCGATTATTGTTTTGGATTTTTTTTTTGTTGTTTTTTATATAATGATAATCGTTTATACAAATAAAATAAATAATAATAATTTTTATCGATTCACGGATTAGGGAAAAGTAACTAATAAATAAAAAAAAAAAAAAAACATTGTCATTAATATTATTATTACAAGATAAAATATAACAACATCCCGGTAGACGACAAGTTTCTTTTTATAACTCGTTTCATAACTCATACACGCGCATTTCTGTACAACAATATGTTATTATTATTATTATTACTACATTTAAAATAATAGCAAAATCGCCTGTTAAAAAAATATATATATATAAGTATAAATTACAACAATAATGATATTAATGATAATAATAATAATAATAATAATAATAATAGATAAGTAAATATGATAATAAAATTAATTAAATTGAAATATTGTACAAAATTTATACTCGTATTATAAAATGATTCCTTTTAGTTTTGTAGTTGTAAAGACAATTTTCCATATCTCTTAGTTATGAAATGTTTTAGTTGTATGCGAAATAATATTTAAAAGCTCATTGATTTAAATAATAGTCTTATACAAACTTACAAATAGAAATGCTAAGTACACATACATTGTTAAAAAAATATATTTTGGGTAGTTAATACCCACTTAACAGAAATATAATAAGTTTTAATTTAAATTACTGTTGTAACAAATGTGAGAAATATTTATGTTTATAAACGACAATTTCAGACAGTCCAAATAACATGTCTATTTATAAAACATTGGTTAAAACATATACCATTTTATTTTTATTCATTTAACTACAGTAAAAATTAAACAATAATTAGGTATGATTACAAAAACATCATAAAATGTATGAAGGTTTCAAACATAATTCATTCAGCCTCTTATCAATGACAAAATTTGAAATTTTATTTTATTGTACTAAAGGCATTTATTAAAATTATCCCAATAAAATATAATTAATTAACCCCCCAAAATTTAAATATATCACAACTATACTTGAAAAACTTCAAAAAAATTATAAAATATTGGTCTATTACTGAAGCATTTATATACTTATATAAATAGTATATTATTTTTTGTCTTAGGAATTTGTGTTTCCTGCACAATATTAATAACAGCAGCAATATTACTAAGATAAAAATGTATAAATATATATATATATAAGTACTAAAATGATGAATGTTGATGGTTAGAAATGCTTATAGATATTATAATAAGCCTAATATTATTTTCCTTAAAAAAACTTGTACGCAGTAATTTTTTAATGTTGTACAAATGTGGAACGTTAAGGTTTATATTATAGTTGAGGAAGGGACTTTTTATGATCCTGCAACTGTGACTGAAGCGTTGAAAGTTCTGATGGTCGGAAAACTCCTTTTTCAGTTATTATTCCAGTTATTAGTCGTGCAGGTGTTACATCAAATGCTGGATTCCAACACGTTACACCTATAATAATTTAGCTATAATTCTTGCATTAACTGTATATATATAAGAAGCAAAAATAAGTGGCCACTTGCTTTCCATAAATATAATATTATTATTTTAAAAACCTTGTTTTTTTTTTTTTTTTTTTAGTAAGACGTCTTAATTTTGTTTAAAAAATAATGATATATTTAATCAGAGTAACGTACATAAAATAGTATTTTAATAAAGTTTATTGTAACATGAACCACAGATTTACAAATAAATGTAATTTGATTTAAAATTGCCATGCAATTTTCAAATTTATTTATTTATTAATGATTTCATATTAGATTTTATACTAGATGATTTTATAATACTTTAATAGAGTAATTTTTTTGATTATTAATTTACTTTATTATAAATCAGTATACTTTAGTTAGAGGTATTTTTGAAAAAATATGTTTACCTGGTGAAGCTATTCTTATATTATTAATATGTGTCATTTCCACCTGAGGTCGTTCTTCAATTATAATACTATCACCAGTGTTTACATTAAAATCAATAGAAGTTAATGGTGCAGCTACATAGAATGGAACATCGTGGTGCTTGGCAACTACAGCAATCTATGAACATAGAATACAATTAATTACAAAACATTAGTTAGATGTGTTTGAAACAAAATAAATTTAAGTGTCTTAATTTGTTTTTACATACTTAAGAATTATAGCTAAATGTATTAATACGTAAACAAGTATATTATGCTAAAAATACATACTTGATATGTTCCAATTTTGTTAGCTGTATCTCCATTAGCTGCGACTCTATCAGCACCAACAACTACAGCACTAATCTGAGCAGACTTCATTAGGTATGCAACTGTGCTGTCACAAACAAGAGTTGATGGTATTTTATCATGAACTAATTCATAAGCTGTCAACCTAGCACCTTGGTTGTATGGTCTGGTTTCCGTAAAATAACAATTTTCTAAAAACAAAACACTTTCATCAACAAATAACTAGGTCCTATGTTTAAAACTAATTTTTACAACATATAAATTGTTAGAAAAAAATATATTTATAAAATTATTTACCAAGTCGTGAAGCAGAATGTAAACATCGTACAACACCTAACGCTGTACCGAAATATGCAGTAGCCAATGAACCAGTGTTGCAATGGGTTAATACACGAACTTGTTCACCATCTGATACGCTACTTAAAATAGCTTTAGCTCCAAATTCCCCAATTGATCTATTATCTGATATATCTTTTTCTAACATTGCTTCTATAGCTGCAACAAATCTAAAAAACAAAAATATTTTGTATTTGTTGAAAAAATAATTTTATTTAAATAGATTTGTTATTTAAAACACACCTGGCTTGCATTTCTTGTGCTGAAATGGTATCATCATTGTCTAAAGAATTTATATAAGATATTAAATGGTCGGCTGCTTGTTTCATATTTACAGCTGTGGGACGTGCAGATATTAAATAATTTAATTTCCCCTCGACTTCTCGTCTCAATGCTTTCTTTTTTTCAAATTCTTCTTTCGAAATTTCTACAGCTAAACTTAAACAGCCAACAATTGCAATAGCAGGAGCACCTCGGACCTAAACCAGGAATAAATTAACATAGTATAAATTATATTATTAAAAAAAGTTAATACATAAATATAAGCTACTGTAAAGTTTAAAATAGGAGAATTTGAAAAAACTTATCTGGATTATACCAAAAATTAAGAATAAATAAATAATTTAGATAATGTTTAAAGAAATGATGGATGCTGTGTTAAGAGAAGTAGTATTAATTTTGCAGTAATTACTATGAAGCAAAAGTTAATTGGAAATAAGTGAGGGAAATTTAAAAATAAATTATATGTTAAATATACAACCATACATAATTACTATTGTTATTTATAGATATTTGAAATTGAATGTTTTTACAAAATGTAATTCATAAAGTAATAATATTATAACGCTATCATAAACAATTTTTAATTATAACCTTGTATTTTTTTTATTTAAGTTAATTTTAGCCAATATTTTTTAATCTGAAATAATATAAATAAATATGTAAGTATAGTAATAAGAAACTTAAGTAGTTTATGTAAAAAATAGACGTATCTAGGTATATAAAAAATTACAAAAAAAAAATGTGAATTACTGATGAGGCATTTTATACTTACATATGTTATTTGCATTAGGAGAATTTATAATCGGGCTTGCATTTTTTTTTATTAATTTGTACAATTCTTGGTACTTGTAAACTAAATCGGCAACTACTACATTTCTGTACATAGGATTATGAAATTACATTTGGCTACATTCCAAGGATATAAAAAAATACATATATATATATTTTTTTAATGATTTGGGACAATATAGTAATGAATCAGTTACATTAGCTAATAACAGATACATACCTGTTGTGTATTTTTTATTTTTAAATCATTTTTCTAAGTTAATTTTTTTTTTTTACAAAAGGGAAAACAGTGTATAATATAAGTAAACAAATTTAAATTAAATAATTGGACAATTTTTATATTAGTATATTATTAAGACTATGTAACTAAAAATAATTATTTTCTATTGAGAAATTAATAGATATTTAACAAATACACAAGAAAAAATATTAAATATTTTATAAGGTACCTAATATAAATTAGAGGAATATTTCAATTTACAATTTAATTTTAAGCATTGCAGTTGTTGCACATAACCTATTAACTTTTTATCCAATTTTATTTAATTAATTATTAAACAGACTAAAAAAAAAGTATTGAATTACTTATTGAAATGATCTTGCATAATATTTGTAAAATATATCCATAACTCATGAGTAGGAGGTAATGAAGTAACAATAATCCTTTTATATCAATGTAGGATAAATTATATTCATAGACAAGTTGTAGAAAGCTTTTTTTATCAAACATTTTATAATTTTATCATAAAAAATAAAACCTAATATATATATGTTGATAAAACATTTATGTATAAAAATTTAATTTTTCATAGATAAATAAAACACTTAAGTTTGGATGCTATAAACATTTAATAGTTCATAAATTTAATGGTAGCAATAAAATCCATATTACAAAACATGTCAAAATTCAAAATATTATGATTATCAATGAAATTCAATGGCTTTTGCACCCAAGGGATTTAAGTAACAAAATAAGATTTTTTTTAAAAATGTCAAAACAAGTTTTAACATCAAATATTTGATAAAAATATTTAATTAAAAAAATAACCTGTGTGTTATTTAAGATAAATAAGTCAACTTAATCACCTAGGAGTATAATTTGGAAATTTTGGGAGAAATAATATATTGACATTTGCAATTTGAGAAGATAGGAAGTTTGACTTTTATGAGCAAGTGATCTAATACAGTATACACTGTAACTGTGATTTTTAGCATACAAATGGCCTATAATTCGGAGTCCATCTTGGATTAGATGACCAAATGTACATAATCAAATACAACCACATGCCATTAGCTATTTACACAGTAACACTAGTCATACTGATTAAACAGTATACACATTTATCGAATGAGTACAGCTCGGCATTACGGTAATTTGCCCGTCGTCTCTTACCTGCATCTTATTGATAACCTTCCATCCGTCCTCGACGCCTAAAATGGGTATGTATTTGGACTCCTTGGGTAAAAGCAGTTGATCCAACACTTCCAACGTGCCGTTCTCGTATCTGATGGCTTGTAGGGTCATAGTAGGGTCTGCGAGCCGGTTGTGAGGCGTCGTGTTTGGAAGGTGAGTCGGAGGTTTTGGACGGTTCACGAATGTGGATTCCGTAGAAACCAGCAATCGCCGGGTGGATGATGTCCGTTCCGTTTTGAAGTCGACGGTACAACACAGTAATTGCTATACACGAGACTCGCACACAAACATAAACACTCAACAGCTGCTGATTCTCGATGTGTTATCTACTGTTATCAGGAAGTGTGGCTTTTCAAAGGTATCGGCATCGGGCGCGCACCAATGTCTATTGTGCGCGTGCAAACCGAGCAATACGATTGGCCGCCGGACGCCGCCGTCTCGTGTGTAATGTGTATTTTACCCGTACGGATGCCGCAAATTGATAACACCGATGATGTAAAACTCCAAATTAATTGTGAAATTTTTCCAATCGGCTTAAATTATGTTCTTATCAGTTATCAATACTGCAGAGTGCAGTGCGTCTTCGATTAATACTGGCTACTGCTACATAAGAGTTTTATTTTTACAATTTGCACAACACGCATAATAATATATTATCCGATGATTATAAATATTGCAAGTCTGGTTTGAGGAAAAACACGTGACACGTATGCCCTACCTAACGCGGTAAACAATATAGTTTAGGTTCTACTTTAAATATTTTCGTTTTTAATCTGGTACTGTTCCAAATAGTGAGTTATCTATGAAACATAATATTATGGAGGGTGTAACTTGCATCGATTTGATCAATTATTGTCCTTGGATATTTACCTGAAAAATATTTTATTGGCACTCGAATGATCGGGCTTTGTATCAACCGTTTCGTAATAGAGTAATAGACATTCGGTGTTGTGTCGTTCCTGAGCACAGACCACTTAACTGTAATTCATTTTTTAAAGGACTTACAAGTATAATAATTACGTCACAGACCACAATGCTCTCTCAAGTCCTCTGTCCATTCGAAATAGGAATACATTTTTCACGTGAAATACATTTTGGCAGAGATTTAATTGTATAATTTTACCGATCCAAATTCCAAAAAAAATCATTCCTCGTTATCGCTATGCAATGTATATTTTAATGCGAATTTTCCTCAGATTTTTTTCTAGATAAGCCCCAATACATGAAATATGAGTTAGGTGCTTAAATAATTTTGTTTTTAATTCATAAATCAATGTCAACAAAATACAGTTTTTATAATACATATGTAGATAAGCACGGTGAAGATCTACAATCTACATGACGATTTTGAAGATCTCTTTAAGGCTATCTTTGCGACTTAAAGTATAGCTTATAAACTTCCAGATAAACCAGTACTCTAACTGATAAAGTAGACATACAATTAATCCAACTTAAAAAGTACTTGTAACTTTTTGACATTTAATTCTTAGTAAAAGTAATTTATGACTTTTGATTACTAAGTTTTACAATCCTCATTAATTGTATGACAGTTACTTCTTGAAAGAATTTTCCTTTACATTGAAATTTGAATTTGAATTTTAATAAAATAATTATAATCTACAGTGGATAAAATTAAAAACTTATTAAAATGGCACCTAAAATAAATGTTGTTAAAAATAGAAATGTATACAAGAACTAGAACCATTTCTTAAAAATATTTCCTAGATTCTAGCTTCTAGTTTGAAAATGATAATTTATAATACAAAACATGAGTGAGGTATGCAGTATGCTTAACTAAAGTGTTTTTTTTATAAACTAAATACAGTCTTACTAGTAAAAAAATTACCTTCTCATGGTTAAATGTTATATGTATATAATATGAATTATGTAAATGGTCAAGGTTGTCATCTTAGTGACATACATTTCTGTAATTAGTTCATTTGTACCTATTTCATTTTGTTCTCATTGATGTTACACCTATAATATCAGTTTGTAAAATATTTTAAACAAAATTAATTGTTATAGGTACATATAGCTGTTTTATTCTTTTAAACAAATATCTAATTTCTCCAACATGGAAACACATGAAGAATTTTATAATACTCACCCGCCACCCCTAAATTATGAAAATGATATTACTAAAGTTGAAAATTTTGTGCGCTGCCACAAAAACGAAAAAATTGTTTTAATTACTGTAAGTATGATATGTTTTGAATCTTTAATTTAACACTAGATATTAGACAAAAATTGAACTTATAACAAACGTATTAATGTCCCCTGATAGACTAAATTTTTTACTTTATTTTATCCATAACTTTAAAAAAGTTTTTTTTAAATGTTGAATTATAATTTATTACATTGTATTATTAAACATATTATAAAATTGTTATTGTAATAGTTATGTACATAAAAACTGTTTGGTGTTTGCAATGTTATATAAATAAATACATATATTTAATTAAGGTATTTTTAAAGAACATTCTAACAAACACTTGTAATACACACAAAACATTGTTGTGACATTCATAATATTATTATAGAGGTTAGGTAGTCTATTTTATAGTAAAAAATTTATTACAAGTGTCAAATCCAATTGTTCTTTAATATCAATTAGAGTTTACATTTTTTTATCTTTTTAAAATTAATGTTTTACACAAAATATTTATAAAAATGTATTTACGTCAGTAGACAGTGTATGAAATTAAAATAATATAATATAGTACTATATGATTTTAGTCTGGAGGGACAACTGTTCCAATTGAACAAAATACAGTTAGATTTGTGGACAACTTCAGCGCAGGAACTCGAGGATCCGCTTCTGCCGAGTATTTTCTTGATGCTGGATATGCAGTCATATTTATATATAGGTTTGTAACCTAATGTTATTATATTTCTATGGTATTTAGAAAAGTATACATATTATTTAAAAAATGAAGTTTTAGGCTTTAACCAAGTGAATACCAAAATATTTTATATGAAGATCACACAGAAAAAGAAAATAAGTACATGTTTTTAAACTAAATATTTTTGAAGCTACGTATTTTTTTAAAGAAATTATTATTAAAAAGTTACAAAATAATTTAAAATAAAGTTACTGCAATTTGAAATAATTGCGTCTTTTGATACTACGAAATTGGATAAATTACCTATTTTCTTTTTATATACCTATAAATTACATATAATGTTATACTCTTTAGTGTATTTACAACAAGGTTAGGTGTTTGGTAATCTCCCAGGCTTTTTTTTTAATTGTATGTTATATTGCTAAAAGCTAAACTAATAATTCAATCAAATATATTATAATTTGTTTTAGATCAAAATCTTTGGAGCCATTTGTTCGACATTTTGTTAATGATTCGTTATTGGATAAACTCGAAATTAAAAATAACAAATCAATACAAGGCATGTAATGTGTATTACACTTGTCAATTTTTTTTGTATGAAAATTACTTAAATAAAGTTTCATTAGTAATATCTATGTAACATTTATAAATTTCAGTTAAAGAAGATAAAGTTGAAAAGTTGTTACCTTTGTTGAAGAAATACAAAGATGCCAAAGCGTCAAATAAGTTCATCTCCATTCCTTTTACGACATTAATTGATTATATGTGGTTGCTCAGAGGCAGTTGTATGCTTTTAGATAGTAAATATTGTTTAATATATTTAGCGGCTGCGGTTTCAGATTTTTATATACCCCCCAGTGAAATGGTGAGTAATTTTATTACATCAGTTATGATTTATGAATGTCATGTGTCATGAATTCACTAAATCTGTGCTACAGCTAATAGATTAGGTGACGTCGGCAATTACAATTTTTTTTGTCTTGTTATCAGTAATGATCCTGTTTATAACATTTTACAACTAATGTTTTAGGCTGAACATAAATTACAGTCTAAAGATGGTCCTCCAGTCATGACTTTACATTTAGTACCCAAAGTAATGAAAGCTGTTACCCATAATTGGTCACGTCAAGCATACATCGTTTCATTTAAATTAGAGACTGACAGTATGCTTCTAGAAACTAAAAGCAAGGATGCACTTCATAAATATAAGCATCAAGTAGGAGGAATTATATATATATTTATATATCTGTATACAATTTATTTGTACTGACAATTCCAAAATCGCCCAGATATATAGTGTTTAAAACGTTCATAAAAAAAGATGAAGTCATTCCAAATTTATTTTTTCCGAAATTAACGCGTGCATATTCTTACAAGAATGAATTTTATAGAAAATAATTAATTAAATCAAATAAACAAGTATTTTAGAGCTTTTATCATTGTTAATGAACATGTCCAAAAGCTCATTGTCTGTACAAATAAAAGTTATTAATTCTTATACGTGCCATAGTATAATTGTGTACCCACTACTCAAGCAGAATCATTTATTTTTCAGTTAGTTATTGGAAATTTGCTTCATTCAAGAAAATATAATGTCAAGTTGATTTCTCCAAATGATATTGAAGATATTTTAGTAACCGATACAAATAAAAAAAATGGAATTGAAATTGAAAAAATTATTGTTAACAAAATTAAAACAAAACACGATGAGTTCATAAATAATATTTAACATATTATCAATTTAAAGACATAATGACAAAATGTCTTTAGCTATTTATTCTAAAAAAAATTGTTGGTATTTTTCATAGTATTATTAGTTTTGTGGTGCGTGTAAAAGATAATCTGTTTATAATTTATAAAGTTGTAAAAAAAAATTAGTTTAATTTCATGCAATTATGGACGTGGTAATACAAGACATAATGCGTTGGTTGTAAATATATTTATAACAATACATTGTTTCTAAACATTTAGAAATATACTTCCTAAATATAAACTTAATTATAATTTGAATTTTATGAACTATTTTCGTATACAAAAACCTGTATTTCATGATTATAAAGTACAAACATGTAATATTTAAGTTTATATTAAATAAATTTGTATTTAAAAATAAAATACAATCAGCTCACAAAATAAAATCGAATAAATAATTAATGCTAACTAATTGTAAATAGACAATAGGAATGAAAAAGATTATCAAAAGCATTAATTTACAGACAGACATTGAGCACCTTCTTGATCAGCATTGGAATCTAAATTGTCAACTGGCGATATTCTATAGACATTTACTGAATGTTTGCTATTATCAAATTTACAGCTTATGTGAAAGCCACCAATTAAAAATGTATAAAATTGATTACTGTAGCGCTCACGCACATAGACAGACCTCGGGTCTTCTTTTAAAATATTTACAATTGTTGGCTCAATATCATTTGTATTTAATCCATCCAAAAATTCTCTAGCTCTTGATGAGAATTCTACTGTTAACTCTTGAGTTAAAGGTTCTGTAATCCATTGAGGGACACGTACCTATATTAAAGTAGTAAAAATAATATTTTATATGAACATTATTCAAAACTTAAATATTTATGTAAAATACCTTTGAATGTAGAGGAGAGAGAGGCATATTGTCGTAACAGGTAGTTTCTTCTCCGTCCGGATCTTCTCGATTCGCAGTTAATGGATCTAAAAGGATTTGATGTGAACCATTATCGACCAACGATATAGATTGGTTAAACGATCTCAACATCATTGGTGCATCGTAATGTGGTATATATGGTTTGATATCAATTACCGGTGTTCCGTCTATCATGTCTACACCAGAAAAGTACACGGAGTTCCCTAATAGTTAACAGTAGAAGATAAAGACAAAGTAAAATCGAATCCAATGCCAAAATAGTCTGAAGTTACCTTCCACTTTATCAATTTGCACTAATGATAAACCAATGGGAGAAGGTCGATGTGGAGATCTAGTACCAAGTACGCCAGTTTTCAAACCATTTAATCTAGGAGGTGAAACTTTGGCATGGACATGAGTAGTTTCGTTTTTATGAAAGTGAAATAACACCCTGGAACAAATACTAAATTTAAATATGCCTTTCACAATTGGATAAAAAATGTATAATATATTTACCACATATGAGAAAAATCAGCAAGCCCTTCAAGAGCATGACTAGGATTTGTAAAGATTGTATTTAATATTGTAAGTTTTGCTTGTGCCAATGGACAAAGTCCCGGTTGGCGTGGTACACAACGGCGTTCTTTAAATTTTGTTTTTACTACTCCTATTACAGAAAACTCAATTTTATCAGAATCCTTTGGAGAGTGTTTAGTTGCAACAATCACATTTCTTTCATTTAGTTGCTTCTTTAACAACTCATTTTGTTTTCTGTGAAACAGTTATTTTAAATAAGTTACAATTACACATATTTATACATTTAGATATTACATAAATACTATTTTTTATTAAGGTAGGTATAGACTAAAATAATTTAAAAACTTATTATTCACTGCTAATTCTTGGGAGTTTAAAAATCAGAACCAACTTGAAACTTATGATACATTGAAACATGATTTTTAATGAATCTAATTAATGAGACTTCAAAACTGACTAATTTATGTTCTCTAACAAGTCCACTCAACCGTAACAGAGCAGAACAACTTGCAAGGATATTTTACTACATTTTAAAATAAACAGATAAGCCATCTTTAACCTTTTATTGATATAACTATGGCTAAAATTCATTTAAACGGAAAAGTTTTAGGTATGTCAGTAAACTTCTACCCTACACAGTACAGTGACCTCTTTTGAATGCATGTTTACCCCTCCCACCATTATTTTTTCCAATAAGATTATATGTATACAGTATACCTAAAGTAAAACTTATGGTAACAAAAAACCTTATAATATAAATAAAAAAATACCTTAGCGCATTGATTTGTGCTCGAGCTACGGATAATTGTTTAAGCCCTTCTCCTAGGTCTGAAACATCATCGCTAAGTGGTTCAATATCTGTAGTTATATCCATATTGAATATAAAACTGACAACAACACTAAATGGTTCCAACCTGCAAACAGTAAGTATAGATAGTATTCTGTATTCAAATTGTAATAAAATGTATTAATTTCAGTTACTTACCAACACTAAATGTTTTTAATGGTATGACTACGGTGGTTCGAAAAAAATTACTTAATTATTTATTGCTACTACAAAATTAGGAGTACAATATAATACAGAATATATAAAACTTAAATTAGTATGCTAAACTGGAAACTTAATGGATTTGAGTAAGTCCTACTTACAGACAATTTTGTTTGTCTGTTTAAGAGACACTTCGATCCTAACTATAGTCTATACAACAACTCGGTCAGTTTACTATGCCATGCTAAATTACAACTTGTTTACAAGTAATGAGTATATCTAACTGGCATAGCATAGCTGTAAACCACAGAACAGATAAATGTGTAAACTATAACAGCTCTATATCTATGGCAACAGTCAACGAACTATTATCATTTATCAACATCTTACATCGGGATAACACCACTTTTCCCAATGACCAGTTTCTTATCAGATCTTCTAATATAACTTAAAACCTGTAGCCTCTTTCTAGTGTAGTCTGCAGACTGCAAACCTAGGATATTTTTGGTTTAGCGGAGCGAACTGCAAAGTGTTAAGCTACGGCGCTGATTAAGCGAGTGCTCAGTGCTCAACAGTCAACCGTCAATGTCCGATGGCCGGTGAGCTGCCGTCCGTATCGGTACAAATTCGGCCCACTGAATACTGATAAGAAACTCGTCATAGATGTTGGTCATTTTGCAATTAGGAAAAGTGGTAGCAACCTAAGCCTTAGAATAAATCATAGACCTATAAAGAAATCTTGCTTTATAGGTCTATGGAATAAATATACTGTGGCTTTTAATCTATGCCTAAGATTAATCGATAATAATCTGAGGTAGGCGGCAACCATCTTACTATATAATTAGCTGTTATCGGGTTAAAGATATAATTTAATATTATTATATACGATTATCAAAAAATATTATAGAAGTGCAACCGACGGCCGGCATTGCAAATTTTATCTAATTAAGTTAATTCGTATTTCTGCATTATTGACATATGCAGTTTATAGATTGATTCTCTACTTCTATTTGTTGCGATAATACCTTGTAGGGAAAATAAGAGAGAGTAGATCGAGGTAGTTTGAGCTGACCGAGCATATTGAAAGAAGGGCAGAAAATTAAACTAGAAAACGGATAAGAGACTTCAGATTAGTAAAGGATTTAGGTTTAAGGTAGAAATGAGAAAGCTAAACAATGGGCGTATGTTTTAGTTTATAAAAAATAAATTCAAATAAAAAAAATTAACTTATTTGTTAGCTCCCCAACTTGTAAATTACGACACTAAAAGTATGACTAAAAAACATTTTATTTTTAGGTACTTAATTGGAATTAATGAGTAAGTTACGTTAACAACTTTGATTTAGCATAATTGGAATGTAGTCTGTAGGTATTAACTAATGTCTAATGCACTATTGTCCAGTCATATTATTTATTTAAAATACATTTATCATGATAATTGTTTTATAACAAATGCGACTATAACAATGTGTTTACTTCAGCCATTTTTGAGACAAACGTTAGTGCGTTACTACAACAATAGTTTAAATTTCAATACTAAATATATTAGTACTCGATTTCTTGACGTTAGTCGTTACTCTGTCTTGACTCTTGTCACTAATAATTGTGTTTTTAGGTTTAGGTAACTTCGACCCCGACATCATACAATAGATAATATTGAAACATCAGCTGACACCATAGTAACCGTTTATCTACTAAAATCTGAATTTACTCTTATCAGTTATCAATTAAAGTTAAAACAAACGCAGTTTTTACTTATTTGCACATTTTCTTTTGTCTCGAGTAATAATAGAAATTTCAATGAACCAATTCTTAATTTTTAATCTATTTGATATATTTTGGTAAATGCCAAATAGTAACTTTTAAGTATTTAAATACTTAATTTTTTTTGTAATAACCAATTTTTTATTTTGACGTGTATAGATTTTAAATCTGTACAAAAAAATTACAAATGGAAAATGGTAAGACAAAAAGTAAATATTAAAGCAACATGGGTTTCATGTTATAAAAACTTATAACAATTGTTTGATTAATTTTTGTTATGTTTGTGACATTAAAGATTGTTTGTTTATAATCCATTATCAAATTATAGGTAATTAACGATACTGTATTAACACTTCTTTTTTAGAATTGTATACATACTTAGTATGAACTTGTGATAGCTTATTTATAGTAAAGTTAAATAATAATTATTAGGTATAATGTATATTATATTAGTATAAAAAAAAAATACATTAATAAGTTAGTTATATATTTTAAAGAGTATATTATGTTATCAAAATTAATTGAGAAATATTTTATAGTATATTATACCATGAAAATCACATTTTAATGTTTAGATGAAATTCCAGTTAATTGGAGAGGAACTGAAAAGAGTTTGTTGCCGCGAAGCTTTGGAATGAAACTGTACCCATTACTTATACCTACCCCTCATCACACAATATTGTTTAAGGTAATTAATTGAATATAAATGTTGAAAGTAATTAAATTCTTGATTTTTTTGTAGATTCCGAAGGGAGCAGACAATATTTTAGAATCGTATCCAGAGAATTTTCATGACATCTGGGATGATAAACATGTTAAAATGCCATGTTCAAAGTTTAATTTACTTTTTGAAAAAGAAAATGTATGTATTTATAAAATATTATTATTAAATGAAAAAAATATTTTTATATTGTACATGAACACTTTTATTTTTATATAGAATCTTAAGAAAAATAGATGGGACATTATTGTAGACAGTTTATCGAAACCTATACTGACAAGTGAACAGTTTGAGGATGCTTTAAAGTCTTACAATCTTAAATACAAAGGAATATGGCGATTTCATTTATTGCACTCTTTTTTCGAGAATGTAAGTTTTAGTGACATAGTTAATTGTAATTTTGTAGTAGGTATTGTAATGTATATTTTTTTTTACATTCCATTTAGGTTTTAACTGAGGAAGAAACAGATGGATTTTTCGAAAAGTTACTACCTAAAATTATTAATTTGGCTCTAAAGTTGCCAATACTCATAACAAGTCCCATACCGCTATTAAAACAAAATAATAATCATTCCATTTCAATTAGTCAAATACAAATTGCTTGTTTATTAGCCAATGCTTTTTTGTGTACATTTCCACATAGAAATAATATTGGCGACCATTCTGAGTATAACACATATCCACATATTAATTTTAATGGGTAAATTAATTATAAATACCTTATATATTGTAAGTTATAACCCAGATAACTTTTTGAACAGATTGTTTCAGATGAGAGTAAAAAATTCTAATGATAAATATTTGTATGAAAAATTAAAATGTATAATCAACTATTTTAAGAAAGTTACCAATCCAAATTTTGGTAAAATAATTTATTATGATATTAAATTTTTAATCGACTTTTATTGTAAGAACTGTTTACAAAAATGTTTTATATCTTTTAAAGTTTGCAAAAGAGCCGTTACTTATTCAAGAAGATATTTAACTGAAAATGAATTGCCAACCTGGTTGAAATCAACTAATCCGTTAACAAGTCTACATATAGCATCTGATGGGACTATAGAAGACAATGGAGATGGAATGTATCAAATTGATTTTGCCAATAAGTAAGGTTAACATTCATACATGAACTATTGATAGTAATCTAAAAATCCTAATCTTAAAAAAAAAAAATTGCTATTTAGGCCACATAAAAACTGTATAAATAATAAATATTATTAGAATATAAAGCTGTGTGCCTAAGTTAAATGTTCTAATGAAAAAAAAAAAACTTAACTTTGGTTATAAATGGCTTTCGGATTTCAGTTTTCAATAAATCTGAAACCCACAAGGAATTTATCTTTTTGGTATTGTTTTATTTTTAAATTTTTATCAAAAATATTTTACTTAAATATCCAGCTAGATATTGTAAAAATATTTAATACTTATAATACATTTAAGTGGCTTAAATACGGTTTCTAATGTACATTTACATCTTACTTGTTATTGCTGTTTAATGTTTTTTGTTAATAAAGGCTGTTAAAAAAAAAAAAAAAACGGTTTCTTTTTTGTGAAAATCAGAATTTTCAGATTCCTACCATTCATGTAAACATACTTTAGATGAATTCATACTTTACATTACTTAAACATATATTCTATGTAATTATTTATTATGGTATAATTATCTACAGATTTATTGGTGGTGGAGTTCTCGGTTGGGGCTGTGTACAAGAAGAAATTCGTTTTCTGATATGTCCCGAATTACTAGTGTCTCAACTTTTTTCACAAAAAATGTTACCTACGGAGTCTATTATTATTACTGGTATGTGTTAGATTTTCATATTTATTATTTTATAACTATGAAGTTTCATTTTTCGGTTTCTTAGGCGCTGAGCGTTTTAATGACTACAGTGGTTACTCAAATTCATTTAAATGGGATGGAAATTACACCGACAACACTCCAATTGATGACAACTATCGACGATATTGCACTGTAGTAGCTATAGATGCTATTTATTTTCAAAATCCCCAAATGCAATTTGCTCCTAAAAATCTAAGACGAGAACTCAATAAGGTAAATTGTAACATACAAATTTTTTTAATGTTAGAATCAGGGGTGCGGTGTTAAAGCCTATTTGACTTATATCTGCAGTAATGTTCCAGGAAAAATAACATACTAAAATCTTATAAAAATTGTTTGTTTTTAAATAAATACTAAGGGGAGTCAAATAGGCATTAGTTTGGGTATCCTGATACATTGCCTAAAATTGTTGTTTTTATGTGTACATTATATTATTGTTTAGGCATACTCTGGGTTTTCTTGGGGTAACAAATCTGACTGTTCTGATGTGTCAATAGCCACTGGAAACTGGGGTTGTGGAGCGTTTCGCGGGGATTGTCATCTTAAATCATTGTTACAATTGTTAAGCGCTGCTGAAGCAAAACGAGATGTCGTATATTTTACTTTTGGCGAAACAAAATTGAGAGATTCCATTAACGACATGCATTCATTTTTAAGAAATAACAAAGTCACTGTAGGTCAGTATATCCGAAACGAGTTAGTTTTTTTAATGATATATATATATATATATATATGTATTATATTTAGTGACAATTTATAATTTGTTCTTAGGTGAAATTTGCCGAATTTTAATAAAATATAACGAGTATATGCAGAGTCATTCTAACTCTAATCTATTCGAATTCATCTACAGTACTGTAACCAACAGCGTTATTCAGGTAGGTGCGTAAAGTTGATTTTTTATAACATAATAATAGTTTTTTATTGGTCTTTATTTTTTAACTTGATGTCATTAAATTGTTAATATTTCAGAAGCCCTTAAATAAACAAATGTCACCTGCAGTTATTGATGACTGTAATCAACTTACCACTTTAAATATTGATGAATCAAATACAAGAACTTGTAGAAGTCCAACGATGATTGAAGCCACACCTGAAAAGATCTGTGATGAAGATATTGCCAATGTAAGTACAAGTGACAATTTAAATATAAAATTAGATGTTGTGAATACAATGGAAACAGATGTAAAGTTCTTACCAGTAAATCAGTTCAAATTGAAAAATGACAAGGATCGTAACTTATGTATTCAGCAACAAAAGAACAGCTGGATTCAACTGAATGATTCGAAAAAGGCTTTCCAGTCTGTACTTGAAAAACCTAATCAGTCGTTAAGTACACTAAAAAGAGAAAGAAATGAAGAAAATGGAAAAAAAAGAGCGAAGCGTAAAATATACGAATACTTTCAAAAAGCATCATAGTTCCTATTATTATTTTCCATCTTATACGGTTACAACTATTTAGATAGTATTGTAAATAATAATTTTGTATCAAATAAATGTATTTTAAATACTATTATATCCAGATTTTTTTTTTAATTTACTACCTAATTGAATTTTTGAAGAAAATTGTTTTTTCCCTAAAACAAAGTTTTGTTAAAAAATATAATGGTTTTTAACCATCTCAAAATATGTAAATCAAAGTTAATATAAATAATGTATTAAGGTATTATAAGTAATTATAATTATAATAATAGTTAAAATAATTAAAAGTCAATTTTAATGACTTCAGAAATTTGACACTCGGGTGCTAACGTTTTTCCGTCCCTCCACAAAAGTTATTTGACTTTTTCCACCTACCGAGTGCGCCGGTGACCACTTGTAATAACGGCCTCTCCGTTATTGTTATCCTTTCTGGCGCTTTCTAACTTATTTGTTACATTTTTGTTTTTAATTTGTTCACTTGTTGTAATCTCTGTTGGAACCAGTTGACATTGACTATTTAATCAAACATTTTTAGTTGTTAGATAAAATTACTCTTTTGTATTGGAATCTATAAAATAAGAGTGACTAAATAATTAAATGGTTCATTTATGGTTTGTTGATCTACATTCTCTGATGACATACTCAACATACTACAATACATTTAAATGAAAATTACACTTAGGGCTTTACACATAAAAGGACTTGCTTTCACAAGGAGTTGAACAAAAGTTAGTAAAAAAGAAAGCTGAGTTTAAACATGTTATCTTTTTAAATTTGTCACTAATAATAAATAGGTTTATTTATTATCCACAAATTACAAAACAATAAATATTTACAATTTACAATAATTGTTGCAAGCTTTAGAAGAACTATACTTATCAATTATGTTATCATACTCTAAACTTTTTTGATGTCTGATTCAAAATTTAATGTAGCAATACTGTTTAGTTGTTTATCGGTCATTCTCGAATGCAAGTAACTTTTAATGCACTAAATGATCGCTCTGAAGAGCAGTTTGAAATGGAACAATACATTCTTAGAGCAATATTTACATTAGGGTATATGTCTTCAAATCCTTCATTTTTAAGAGTTAGACACATTTATTTAATTGATTGATTAACAGTAGATGGACTATATAAAAATCTGATGCCACCAGGGGCGTTCGCCCCCTATACCCCCAAATACGTCACTGATTGACTTACATGACAAAAGTATTTAAAAAATTGAGTTTTGACATAAATAAGTCGCTAAAAAAAAGTTAAAATAAAAAGAGAAGCAATAATTAACAAAATTATACTCCCTTAATATTTGACTATCGCTGATAGACTCCATAACTCATGTGGAGTAATGAAAATAACCGTAATTGAACTATAACTTATTAAATGTATAATCAACAATCATCTTTATGTTTTGCAGCCGACTAAGTAATGAAATTTGAAAACGCTAAACATAAAATAACCTTGGATTTTTAAATCAACCTTGCACAGCTGATAAACTAGATTTCTAATTAGTGATAAGAATGGATGTCAACGTTCGCCATTTTATGATGGAATTTATGTGTATAAAAAAACACATAATATATATTATATATAATATTATCTGTGATTCTGTGCTATCAACTTAACTTATAATTATTGTTATAAGCAAATTTTTATGTGATAAGGTTCTATAATATAATTCTCACAATGATGAAGAAAAATGGTAATTTCAAATATTTTTATTAGCGGTGTGTACACAATGGTTGAAATATACAGGTTATTACACATTGTCTCGAAATGTTATCTTCCGAAATAAAATGGAAGCGTAAGGGGATATCAATCTTACCAAGGTGGGTTTATTAAATCCACCTTGAATATTACTACTACTATAATATATTTCACTGTGTACATAATATCATATACTTGATTTTGTCTCCCGTTACGCTGACATATTTGTTTTTATCATTGAATATTTGATGAAGAAGAGGTATAGATGTAGGGGGGATGTGCAAAAACCTTATGATTTCTATCATGATGTACACTTACCAATCTAGTCTATTATATTTATATCTGTGTATAAAAGTAATACATTTTACCGTAGCCATTAGGCATTATTATTTTAGATATCGCTTTAATAAATATAAGTTTAAAAACCAAAAAATTGGGCAATGTTCAATTATTGTAAAAATATTAGCTAGAAAAAAAAAAAAAAATGTCAATACTAGTACTCGACTTTCTTGTCATTTAGGCCACTTCACTCTTGAATCACACAATAAATGAAATTGGAACATCAGCTGACATTAAAATAACCCTTTATCTACTAAAATCCTACTTAAATTTGCATTTTACTCTCATGACTCATCTGTTATCTATTAGGAATGACAAACGCAGTTATTTGCACGTTTTCTTTTGTCTCGAAAAACAATAGATGTTTTAATGAATCAATTCTTAATTTTTAAACAATTTGATAATTAGTAAATGCCAAATGGTAATTTTTAAATATTTAAACTTAAATTTCTAGTAATAACCAATTTTTTATCTTGACGTGTATAATACAAATTATAAAACAAATATTTATGTGTAGCATAATTTATAGGTTTTAAACTTGTACAAAATAATTAAATATGGAAAATGGTAAGACAAAAAGTAATTTTAATACGACACGTGTTTTTGTGTTTAAAAAACTTATAATAATTGCACTTTGATTATCTGTTAGGCATAAATTTACATTACAGGACATTTTTTTTTTTGTTGCCATAATATAGGTTTTTTTTACGCTGATTACAAATCTGAAGCCATAATTAGGCGGACTCCTCTAGTTCAAAAAGTAATAGCAACTTGAAATTTGAATATTTCTGTTGCAGCCGCCCACCCCCGCATCATGAACTTGTCGGTGACGCAAAGATAGGTTAGGTTAAATTGGGTTCGGTCTGCTAAGGTCGCTGACGCTTCCAGAGCGGTATTAGGTTAGTTTAGTCCTTTAGGCAAGCTATTTTTTTCCTCTGGGGATTTGGGCATGTGAGTCCCTAACCTACGAAGAGCCCTGAAGAGTCTCGTGTCGGATTCCGGTCTTGGTTTATTTAGTTATCTATTTACTTAAAGTAAATTATATTTATCGTTGTTTAATCAAATATTGATATTATATTATCATTGATAATATAATAATCAATAAAAATAATAAAAATAAATAATTAACTAATAGTACTGTAATAATAATAAAAATAATAATATAATAATAGTGTTGCATCGCGCACTCAACTCTCGTCGCCGACAAAATATGTAAAATGTATGGTGCGGCGGCGAACGGCTGAAGGCTAAGGCAGCAGCCGCCGCCTATTGTTATACATGCGAAAATATGCAAATTTAAAGTACTTATAACTTTGGAGCTAGAGAAGTCCACCAAATATTGATTTCATATTCGTAATCAGCGTAAATAACTCTGATATGACAAAAAAAGGGTGTCCGGTAAAGCCAATTTGTTTCATTTTTTGTTATGATTATTTATAGTAAAGTTAAATAATAATTATTAGGTATAACGTATATTATATTAGTATAAAAAAAAATACATCAATAAGTTAGTTATATATTTTAAAGAGTATATTATGTTATCAAAATTAATTGAGAAATATTTTATAGTATATTATACCATGAAAATCACATTTTAATGTTTAGGTAAAATTCCAGTTAATTGGAGAGGAACTGAAAAGAGTTTGTTGCCGCGAAGCTTTGGAATGAAACTGTACCCATTACTTATACCTACCCCTCATCACACAATATTGTTTAAGGTAATTAATTGAATATAAATGTTGAAAGTAATTAAATTCTTGATTTTTTTGTAGATTCCGAAGGGAGCAGACAATATTTTAGAATCGTATCCAGAGAATTTTCATGACATCTGGGATGATAAACATGTTAAAATGCCATGTTCTGTTTTTGAAAAAGAAAATGTATGTATTTAAAAAAAATTATTACGATAAAGGAAAACAAATTTATAAATATTTGTATATTATACTAGAATATATTTTTTTTTTATAAAAAATATTAAGAAAAATAGATGGGACATTATTGTAGCCAGTTTATCAAAACCAATAAAGAAGAGTGAACAGCTCGAGGACGCTATAATGTCTTACAATCTTAAATACAAAGGAAAATGGCGATTTCATTTATTGCACTCTTTTTTCGAGAATGTGAGTTTTAGTAATATAGTTAAATGTTGTTTTGTAGTAGGTATTGTAATTGTAATGTATGTTTTTTTACATTCCATTTAGGTTTTAACTAAGGAAGAAGAAACAGATGAATTTTTCGAAAACTTATTACCTAAAATTATTAATTTGGCTCTAGAATTGCCAACATTCATAACAAGTCCCATACCACTATTGAAACAAAATAATAATCATTCTATTTCAATTAGTCAAATACAAATTGCTTGTTTATTAGCCAATGCCTTTTTGTGTACATTTCCAAATAGAAATGGCGACTATTCTGAGTATAAAACATACCCACAAATTAATTTTAATGGGTAAATTATTTATAAATGTCGAATATATTGTATGTTATAACTTAGATAACTTTTTGAACAGATTGTTCCAGATGAAAGTTCAAAAATCTAATGATAAATATTTGTATGAAAAATTAAAATGTATCATAAACTATTTTAAGAAAGTTACCGATCCAAATTTTGGTAAAATAATATATTATGATCATAAATGTTTAAACTCTAATCAATTTTCTGTGTATAAACTGTTTAAAAAAATGTTTTATATCGAATTTGAAGTTTGCAAAAGAGCTGTTACTTATTCAAGACGATATTTACCTGAAAATGAGTTACCTACCTGGTCGAAATTGACTAATCAGCTAACGAATTTACACATAGCATCTACTGGGACTATAGAAAACGATGGAGATGGAATGTATCAAGTCGATTTTGCCGACAAGTAAGCGCAAAATTCATCTCTAAACATAGATACTATGTAATTATTTATTATGGTATAATTATCTACAGATCTATCGGTGGCAAGGTCATCGGTATGGGCAGTGTACAAGAAGAAATCCGTTTTCTGATATGTCCCGAATTGATAGTGTCTCAACTTTTTTCACAAAAAATGTTACCTACGGAGTCTATTATTATTACTGGTATGTGTTAGATTTTTATAATGATTATTTTATAACTATGAAGTTTCACTTCTTGGTTTTTATAGGCGCTGAGCGTTTTAATGACTACAGTGGTTATTCAAAATCATTTAAATGGGGCGGGAATTACACCGACGACACTCCAATTGACGACAACAGCCATCGCCGGTATTGCACTGTAGTAGCAATAGACGCTCTTTATTTTCGAAATCCCAAATTGCAATTCGATCCAAAAAATCTAAGCCGAGAACTCAACAAGGTAAATTGTTACGTAAAATCGATTTTAATGTTAATAGCAGGGGCACTGAACTCTCAACTCAATATACGGAACGTGTATTCAGATTGAAAAATCCCCACCTGGGAGGCAGCCATTTTGGTGTACAACTTCATAGAAAGTAAAAATGCTACGTCACTTTTCCACTATATGTATTGTTAGGTTAGGTATATCATGGATAAAACAATAACAGTACACAAAATGACAGCCTCCTAACAAGGGACGTTTTCATAAGCAGCCGACTATAGGCAATATGCGTTCCATTTATTGAGTTCAGTGAGCAGTCGGCAGGGTTGCGGTGTTAAAGCCTATTTGACTTATACCTCCAGTAATGTTCCAGGGAAAAAAACATACTAAAATATTATAAAAATAATAATATATATATGTATATTTTTTTTCTGGAACAAATACTAAGGGGATTTAGTTTAGGGAACCTGAAACATTACCTGACATTTTTGTGTTAATGTATACATTATATTATTGTTTAGGCATATGCCGGGTTTTCTTGGGGTAACAAATCCGACTGTTCCGATGTGTCAGTAGCCACCGGGAATTGGGGTTGTGGAGTGTTTAGAGGTGATTGTCACCTTAAATCGTTGTTGCAAATGTTAAGCGCTGCCGAAGCAAAACGAGATGTTGTGTATTTTACTTTTGGCAAAACAACAACGAGAGATTCCATTAACGACATGCATTCATTTTTAAAAAACAAAAATGTCACCGTAGGTCAGTATATCCGAAAGAGTTTATTTTATTAATGATGTGCATTGTCTTAAGTGACAGTTTATAATTTGTCCTCAGGTGAAATTTTCCGAATTTTAATAAAATATAACGAGTATATGCAGAGTCATTCCAAACCTAACCTATACGAATTTATCAAGAGTACTGTAAACAACAGCGTTGTTCAGGTGCGTTAAGTTGTTTTTTTTCATATAAAATAATAGTTTTTATTGGTCTTAGTTTTTAACTTGGCGTCATTAAATTGTCAATATTTCAGAAGCCCCAAAATAAACAAATACCACCTGCAGTTATTGATGGACAACTGAATGTTTCGAAAAATGCTAGTCAGTCTGTACGTGAAAAACCTATTCAGTCGACAAGTATACTAAAAAGAGAAAGAAATGAAGAGACTGAAAAAAAAAAAAAGAAGCGTAAGATAGACGAACACTTTCAAAGTGCATCATAATTCCTTATATTATTTCTGGTATTATTACACCTAAATTATTATTATTTATTTAATGTTATAAATTATAGTTTTATTTTAAATACCATTGTATCCAGACATTTTTTTAAAGTTACAATTTCATGTTTGATAAATATTACTAAAGTGGACTAGATATTAGTATATTACTATAAGAAGTTCTAATTACTTCTTTAATATGCACCTTGAAGTTTTTTTAAAAATGTTTTGTGTTTTATTATACATAAAAATAAAATATTTACAAATAAAAAAAACTGCATATTCTCCCTAAAACGAAATAATTGTTTTGTTAAAAAATATAATAGTTCTTAAACATATCAAAATATGTAAATTAAAATAATGTATTAAAGTATTATAATAATAGTAATAATAATAATTAAACGACAATTTTATTGACTTATATGACAAAAGTATTTAATTAATCGAGTTTAAACATAAATAACAGTATTTAAAAAAAATGATACGGTCTTGAATTAATCCGACGTGTTGACGATTTTGGCGTATTCTTCAGCACCCAAAACAATTGCTTGAATATTTTCTTCGTACTTGGATACTATCTCTTTACACTGTGGAGCCATCGTTGTATCTGCCATTATGGCTAATCTCAAATTTCCACCGTAGTTCATCAAAGACAAGGATAAGCCTAGAACAAATAATTATGTGTTTAAATTAATTAGAATTATTAAAACAATAAATGTAGGTATTCAAATGTAATTAAAAATAACTAGATTGATATTAATAAAAAATAATGTAAGCTACTGTAAGTAACAGAAACCAATGTGTTGTTACAAGTTGTAAAAACGAATAGCTTTAATCTTAATTTCTACATTTTTAACTAATCATCAATGGTTGACTTGTTAAGGTACCAATATTTTTTTTTGGTACTTTGATTATAATTAGTGTATTTTTTTTTAATTTGCGATTAGCTTACTACAAATAATACATATTTCGAAAAAAAATTTCTTTTTCAACGTAAATAAAGCGACCCCATATTAAAATGTTTTAATACAATTTTAGTTTTACTTTATTTTGCGTTTCACTTCAAAAAACAGTTATTATAATTTAGAGGTACTCTAAAAATATAAGAAAAATGACTCGACGTGTTCAGTCACTTTCCAAGTAAATCGCTGGTAATTGAACCGCCGAGAGCAAAAGCGGTGTAAGTCACGAAAATAGAAAATTGAGAAACTAAGTATAGAAGTAGAAATGCTGTATACGTTTTGACGAGAACGTAAACGTTTTCCCTGCGGAAAACATGTAAAGTAGGACTCAGACCACTTTCGCAGGCACTTGATTGAAGGCAGAATTATCGCCTAGTGGTGTTCCTTCAGATTCTGTAAGAACGTGACTTACACGACGTTTGCTCTCGACGGCTCTGTTATGGATTTAGGGTAGAGCATTAATTGGGTAATAGATATAAAATGTGTAGTGTACTTACAAACGTTGGCTTGCGGCGGTCTCCAGTACATGATGGCGTCCACTTCTTGGTCCCACAACAACCGCTGCTTTTCATAATCCCACTTGTTCTCCTCGACGTACGTGACGGTCAACGGATACTTTTTGGACAAGTAACTGAGCGCGTAGCTGACTAACGGCGACGGCAGAAACGACGTGGCCAGGCTGTGGTCGATCTGCCACATGGACGCTATGTATAGACCCGTCTGGTTGGCGATGGCTTCCTGCAGGCATTCCTGCATCTTTTGCAGACAATAAATGGGATCGTCGTCGATGTCCATTGGCAGGGGCAGCGACAGCAGGCCGTAGGACACGACGTACCGGTTGTGGAGTTGGAACAGGTTGTTCTTGGACACGAACCGCGTGGTGGTCATCACTTTTTCCGGGTGTTTGATGCCGGACCGTTCGAAGTACTCTTTCAGGGCCGCGGCCAACATGGACAACTGAATCTCGCACGTGGCCGCTCCCGTGTTGTTGTGGATGGTGTTCACCACTCTCATGTCGATGGGACGGGACCAGTACACGCACTTTTGGCCACCAAGCTGGATCTCGATGTTTTGGGTACGGCTGAAAAACGGGAACACCAGTTCGTTGATGAGCGTCCTGGGCGCGTTGTACGCCAACCGGAACATGTACATAATTTCGGACGCGCTGTACATGAGTACGTACGTCCAGTACACGTAGGTGGACGTGTTTTTGATCATGATCAGCGGCGTCATGGGCAACCGGAACAGGCCCTTGACCGTCAGCCACCACGTCAACGATATCCACAAGGCAGGATGGAACGTGTACACCATGCTCTGGAACGCGAACCTCCAGCGGATGTTACGCTTTGCCAATTCCTTTTTCACCTTGTACACGTACAAGTACTTCTTGTCCGTGTCCTTGTACGCGGACATCATGACTATGGCCAGCATCGAGGTGAACGCGAACACGTTTGGCCGGCGCCTGAGGATCTTCGGGTTTTCCAGCGGGTCGTACGTGGACACCAGCTCGTTCCACGTGTTGGTCCAAATTTCCGACACGTGTTCGCACAGCCTAGGCAGCGCCGTAGGCGCTTGGTAAACGGTGGCTAGGATGTTCTTGATGCTGTCCATGTCCGTGTGGCGATGGTACGCCGGCTGCGTCGCCTCCGCGTGTTTCCAGTCTTTAGTCTTGAGCAACAGCAACTCGCTTATGCCCACACCATCTTCGGAAGCGTACAGGTGATGCAACCTCACCAACATGTAGAATTTACTGCTTACCGGCACCACGGTGATCTGCCACTGTGGTAGTTCAGGAGGTATTTTCGTTTTAATGACATTGTTCACATACTCCTTAAAATAAAAAGCTCACTAGTTAAAAAAGCGAGTTACGCATAGTTAGAGATGGGTACAAAGTATGAGATTGATCGGTTATTCAAACAATTAATTAGTCGAGTGCTTCGATTACCGAACATGGTCAGATATTTAATAAGTATAAAACTAAAAAGAATGTTACTAAATAGACACTAAAGGGGTTCTAAATGGATTAATAGATAGTTGCAAAATTGTCCTAGCAGTCGACTTGTTAATACCCCATTGGCTTATGGCCGGTCGCACTAACTATACTTGAAATTTAGGTATTTCAACTAATAACTAGTATATTTGAATTTGAATTTGAATTGGTGTAAACGGTTATCATATATTACAAATGAATAAGTAGTTTGTACATCGGTAGATCATTTTAAATTAAAATACAATAGGCAATAATTCAATTGGACTCTGAGCGGTTATAAGGCAGAAGTCGAGAAAGGAAATCTTTAACCACAAACAAATTCGGAACGTCTCTCGAAATCGGAAAATTTTGAAAACATAATATTTGATGTCACTTTGTCTCAAATTCCATTGGGAGTAGTCCCCGGTCTTAATAACTTAACATTTTATTAAATGCAATATTATGTGAAACTTAATCAAGAATTTGTAATTACTGTTTCGGGGTGATGACGTAAAGTAACTTAAAATCATTAAGAATTTGTCAGAATAGATTTGCGCATCCGTGACGACCAACGCCTTCAATATACAGGTTTACTCTCAAGACTCAAAGATTATAATAAATAATTTACATTGAAATTTTTTCCATTAATTTGTATAACCACTTATTTATTAATTTTTGTGAATACAGAAATAGTTGTGATGTAAATTTAATTTTATGGGTAGACGTATAAAACAAAAAAGACGATAACCTTGATTACTTATTCTAGTTTTGATTTTACTCTTGTTATAGAATATTAATTATACCCTATACCTACCATCTTTTAACCTTTATAACATATTATATCATGTTATGTATATCGCATTGAAGTTATTTCTAGTATATTAAGTAATAAATGTTTTTTTAATATCACACTAACATAATATTATATAATAGACTGATACAATTATTTATAATTCTTCGTTTATCATAATAGTAGGTATACCATAATAAATTGTTATACAAATATAGTTGCTACAGGCACCGAGTTTTATTGATACGAACAATAAACGATTATTTTGCGTTATTTAATATTATAACCGTAAAGTTTCCTACAGAACCATTACTGTGCTGGTTAAGTTTATCAACATTGAATGTAATATGTACATTATTTTCAGAATATTTAGCAAAAATAGAAAACCGACGGAAAGCAGTGTTCGCTGTATATTTTATTCTGTGTAAATAGAAAAAAAAAAATGATTGCCAACAAAACTATGTTATAATTTGTATTTTAACCTATTGATGGACAGAAGTTTTGTGTTACGTCAAAGCATCGGTGCCCACTGTGTTGGTTATGTATTTTAACTAATTTTTGCAACTCTTTGACGTCCGTGTTTGGATAATATTATTAAACGTCGACGCGCAGATTTAGCGCGTTAACTAACACGCTAACTATTATATAAATTGTATGTATATTCTCCACAACACTTATTTTATTGAATTTTGTTCTAACAAGTACAATAAAAAGATAACCGACATTTTATCTAGGTAATTAGCAAACTGGCAAGTTTAAATAACAACACACCGCACTGATCAACGTCATCGATTGGACTGTTCCAAATCTGCCGCTTATAAAAGCATATTTAGCGTTGATGTTTTGTAGTTCTGACCGAAATTTCAAGAAAATCGCATAGGCAATATAAATTTAATTTATTTATAAATATAATTTTGAAAACATAAATTTGATATTAGTGATATTTATATCGCTCGTCTATAAATCGATCTGGAGAAGGTATTTTCGGACGGGAAAATCCATTAAGTAAATACTTGAGCTAAAAAAAAAAAAATTGTACAACTGTACGTCATAATCTATTTTTTTTTTTTTTACGTTAACAGTTAAATATTATATATGTTGTTTGCCTTTTTTTATCGAACTTGACGTCACGGGGTTGAACCCTAGACCGACAGGTTCTCTTTTAAATTAGTTTAGTACCGAGTATTGGTGTAATATGCGTCATTGCGATCGAGTTATAGTGCCTATGGTTTTTTTTTTGTTTTTTAATTTAGTTTTATTTTATCTTAACGATAAAAATTAGCCAACGCACATCGTATTGTTCGGATTAGCGCGAAATTTGTTTGCACGAAAAATCATTTCACAATCCGTTATTATTCAATTAACGGTGCTGTTCTACGACTTTCGAATCTTTAATGGTATTAAAATTATCTAATAACAACTAATACCACCTAATACCGCCCAAGACTTATTTGGTGTCCTAATACGTATCTGTTCAAAATTTCGTGCGTTCGGTTAAAGTTCTCGCAGAAAAATAAAAAGTCAACACAAATATGTTGCCGGACTCGGTAAAGGTTAAGGCCGAGTGTGTTTCATATTATGTATACACATAAATGCATTAGGTTAAGTAGAGTTCTGATGACGACGGTGAAGAGTAAAATGATAAAATTAATGTGTTTTGTTTTTAGATAACGTCCGATACTTTGTTATAAATTATTTGTAATATACATATGTATATTACATATGTATACCAGCTATGTAAACATAGCTGGTAGGTATAGTGCTTAATTTGAATATAACTAAAAAATTTGAAACAGTTTTCGATGTATATATACAGGGTGATCAACTAAACGAAAGACACTCATTTTACCGGAAAATAATTGCAATTATGTAGTTTCTTTTTCAAAGCATGTTTGTTTATCTTAAAAAGTTATTAAATATTTACCAGCTCTAAGCTCTACAGACTTAAAGTTTAAACGATAATACATACATATTTAATTATCTTTTTTAGTTAAAAAATAATTTGATAATTTGAAATAATTTTGATTGGTCCAAAAGTACTAGTTTTGGATAATTACTTTTAAAGTTTCAAAGTTCAAAATTGAGGACAGGAGGAAGGTTGTAGTGTAGTATTATTTGTGTCTGTCTCCTATTCCAAATTTTTAACTTTAATAGGTGTGTTTATCCAAAACTGATTGTCAACCAGTCAACATTTTCAGCAAATTATGCGCAATTTACAAAGTTAATTTATATACTTTACCATTTAAGTTGATACAGTTCTGGAAAAAAATAAAAAAAATAAGAATTTGAATATTGTCTAATATCTTAAATTAACATATATACTAAAAGAGTTTCCAAAAAGAAAAACTTAAAAATAACAATTAATTTAAAAGAAAATGAGTGCAATAGTGTTTAATCGATCACTCTGCATTAGTATTTTAGACTATAAAAGTACATGCGAATATTTTATGTTAATTTAAGTAAAATGTTTGATATTTTAAAAATATACAATATCTGTGACAAGTCTTTAGTTTGTGACTCGTAAAAAATATTTTCAAGTAAGAAAAATATTTTTCTTATTTTTTTATTAACACTTTTACTAAACGGGGAAAACTAATTTCTATGTTTTAAGGATCTAAATATCAAATTTGTTATATGATCTCTGTCACTTCTGTATCTAAGTTGTTTAAACTAGATCAATTGTAAGTAATTTGAACAACTATTTTAGATACAAAATAACACCATTAAACATCTCTATACTCTGATCTATCAGGATTAATATATTATGTGATTTAAAAATAAGAGCTAGAGAATAAAAGACTTCCGATTGTTGTTCAATTGACGAGGTCACACGATAGACACAACAACAGTCATAACTCTAGCTGCAAGTCCAACATTGTTATTGTAATGGGCAAGGGAGGTGTTGGATTAAAACGCAATACGTAATTCTCAGGAAGAAAACGCTCATGGGAAAACTCGTGTTGCTTTTATTACGCCCTAAGCAAAATTATCTTAGTGGTTCATCTATTTTGCGAAGGCCATGTTATTGTTTGCGAGCCGAGTCGGAATTTTTTTGTGTCGACTTATTTCTTCGATAACAGAGGTTTTAAAGTATTCGTACTCTGTTACTAAGTGTTACTGAATCGATTTACTTCTAAATTGATTCTATGCAAATCTCGTTACTTGTTTTCAAAAGAATTTTAGTTTTATTCGCTCTTATATTTGTAAATAACACTAGGCATGTTTTAGTAGTTTAAGTACTCTGTTATCCAACTTACTATATGTTTTATTTTATTTTTATTGTAAATAGTGATCATATTTAAAACCGCCAAAAACTTTATTGTAAATAACTCTAAGTTTAGATGGCACTAAGCCAGGAAAACTTTAAAATAATAATAAAAAAAAAAAAAAGTTTCATTCGCAAAAATGATCACACAGGAACTTTTCTTATAATATAATATAAATATTGTTAGTTTTCTATATTGGCAACAGTTGTAAGTGGGATGTCTTTGGTCGAATGTGGTTTTTTTTTTAAAAGTTAATGTAATTAATATTACATTCAGGTGCTTATGTTTAACTGTTCGTACTTACCAAAATGGTATCTTCGGTAACAACCTTATTGTCCTCTGTGCCCACCACGTGATTGTCTAAAGAAAATTTTGTATTTGACGTCCATGCATACCGTAAACATTTTCTAGTTAGGGAACACTGCAAGTGCGGAAAACACAGCCGACCGCTTTGACAGTGTCGTTTTTCTATTATGCCGGTCTAAATACATGGTACAACATTACAACCACTATTACTGGATTACTTATAATATACTGTACAATTAATGAAATGAAATAAAAAAAAATACTATTTTTAAAATAAACATGGCATAATATTCAGAGATATGGTTTTTTGAATGTTTTTATGTATATCCCGTACACGAATAATTCATTTTATAATTATTTTTACAGCATGTTTTGACAATAAAATCAAATATTATCCACAAAAATGTATCATTTAATATTTTTATAGTACTATAAATTTAATAATTAGACATGATTCATTTTGAAAACCTCAAATAAATGTTTTTTTCATGGTATTTTCAGCAAATGTTAACAAAACTTGTTATATAACAAAAACCATATATTTCTTAATTGTTGCGTGCGGCTAATAATAATAGATATCTGTTAGACCGTTTATAATAGATATTTATTAAAAAGATCAAAAAAGATCAATGTCTTCCCTTTTACAAAAATTCATCTTTTTTAAAATACTTTCCTGTTTCTTTTTAAAAGATATTTATTTAGACAATGAAATCAATTTTAATATTTTTTTATGAAATTTATGGAGTAGTGATAGGCTTAGTATAAAATTAAATAATTTATTTTTGTTCACGTTTGTCAAGCTAGCTCGCTCCACCCTACCTAAAAACTGACTTCTAAAAATCACTGAAATATCCTTACGGATATTTTTGCATAATACCCATAAAAACATAATAAAAGCATTTATGTTGCGAGTCGTTTATACAGAATAGATTTAATTACCCTATTTTAATTCACATATTATATTGTCTTGTTACTTAAATACCTTATATCGAAAAGTTAATTTGATATCAATTATACATAACTTAAATAGCCAAACACAATAAACTGGAGTATACAACATATTCTATGCTTCATCAAGTTCAAAGCCTATTATATTTTTAGTTGTTGTTCACGATAATTATTTTCTTTTTATCCTATACATTTAACGAACAATAACTTGACTCAATATTTTAATATTATGTACATATAGTTATATTATTCTTTTAAACGAATTATTTATATTTTTAATGGAATGGCACTGCAAATAACATAGCAACGTAGGGTCATAAATAGTTAATTTATATTATTTTTCCTATCAACAAAGGCATAGTTTGATTTAAAACTGATAAGATAAAATAACATTAAATACGCTAAGTATTAAACACTATATCTGAGAAAGTTAATTAGTCCGCAATTACACACATTTTAAAATATCATCTATATATTTTAGATTTTGACAGGAACTCTACAGATTAATGTTAGTAGGTACCTGAATGGCGCTTTTTACTAAACTCAAGTCACACTGGCCGTTGACTTTGAGCAATACCACGATGAATCCGGTATTTTCCGGAGAGTCCATTGCCGACCGCATGGACATTGTACTTATAAATTCCAAATCTGGATAAATTCTTTTTAGACATTGTAGTAGAACAAAGCGACCGGCCGTTGTAACTGAAATCAAATGCATTAACATTTAATTGAGTTAACAAATAAAAACTTTTGACAAAGTATGCAATAAACTATTGTTCTACTGAAATCTGTTTTTTTCATTCATTAAAAATCGGATTAAAGTTAAAATGTTTACCGCGGGTTACGCTCCTGAGACAATCTATTTTGTTTGTTTATTACAGTAATTAGTGTTAATAAGGAAAAGAAGATATTTAATTTTATATATTTATAGTTTAAAATATATATTTTTTTGAGGAACTACCGACTGCTATTAGCATGATAAGGGGTTACCATTCATTTAAATTGTAAATCTTATTTGGCGCTTATCTTGTTGAATTATTTTTAAAATGTAATTGGGCATATACTATTGGCCTTTAATATTAATAACTTCATTAAATACATTTTGATAGATTGCTTAATATATTTTACTAACTATAAGTAATCAAACTATAATGTATGTTTTTAACATTAAAATTGAGTGTAATGTAAACAAAATCGTTTCTTGGATATATTCTATGAAACCTAACCTTCACTTTCCATATAAGGTGACTTAAAGTAAATTATTTTCATGATAATTTCAATGGTAATTATTAGGGCATTATTTTTACTAGTGAATTTTAAAAAACTGCTGCGTTGAAACAGTTCTCCAGAGTCCAAGTACCACGGTCTACAAAGGTTTAACGTTGACAAAGATGAATGAGCGATAGGGTATAGTTTGACTCAGTGGTAACATAATAATGCATTATTCATTTGTTATTTTTATAAAAAAAAAATAGAAGAAAATTTCAATCTAAATAAATGCATTACAGAAATTTGTAGATTATTTAGTAATAATCGTTAACTATTATTCTTAATATGATGGTACTTCAATTAAAAGATTTATTTTTATTTTTTTTAATATGGCTTCAGCAGCTAGGCTGTTAGCCAGACATTGTTTAATTAATTAAAAGATTTTTAAACGTTATTTTTAGTTATTACAATTCACTTTTGATGACAGCTCTTCATTTTTTTTGCCAATCTTTTTTTTCCAATTGTGCTTTCCACTGTAAGTAGTAGACATTTTTGTATTAGAAACTCGATTTTAATTTTTTAAATACTATATAGTTAACGGTTTGAAACACACTGTATATTTCAATCAATGACTAATATAGTCGGGATAACATGATATTTCTGTTTTTTACTTCTCCGAAATGTAGTGAATGGAAATGTTTTATTGTAATAATTTACATGGGCGTACTCGACCATAAGGGAAGCATGACGTTTAATTTAGTCAATAGTGTTGACCGTTTTGAATTATATATTATTGGCAATTCATGGGGGGGAGTAAGCTTTCACAACAGGCCTGGTGGCTATAATGCGGTTTCTAAACAATGACTACAAAAAAAAAAAATCTCCAGGTATTGCGTTATCTTTTCACCAATTCATTATAGCGTAAAAATAGTAAAAAACATATTGAGCAATTTTAGTGATCGAAAAGATAAATTTGTAAGAAAATAAAAAGCCGAATAATGAGCGATTGTAATTTAAAAAAAAATCCAATAACAATTTCCATCAGCGAGAGAGATATTATTTAAAACATGTATAAGAACACTGTACACTGAACAAAATTCCATAGATATACTATACGACGGTATATATTGATTTTTAATGAAGAATTTCAAGACTGTGAATTTAAAAATATTTTGAATAAACTCGTACTTGGTGTTGTTTTATTATTTGCCAACTTAACTTGTCTAATACGTAGTTAACTATTTAGCCCAGCTGTTTTAGCCCAGTTTTGCTAAAAAATGTCCAACGATTTCGTTTAGTAGGTTTATTTATACTAGAAAATAGCCTTTTCAGCAAGAACTCCCTTCCTCTCTTCCTATCAGGTAATTGGGCTAGTCGGGCGGATAAAGAAGTTTGAACTTTCGTTAATAGGATGTACAAAAAGTGTTTTTTTCAATTACATTATGAAATTTAATCATATTATTTGTATGTAAATATATTTATTATTATTATTTATGATGAATAAATACATCGAGACCCATGAAGGGTGTAGGCAAAATTTATTTTGATAAAATAAATAACTCAGTGTCAGAGGTATAATTATTATTCGTAGTTTTTAATAGAAAATAAATTTACGCTGTGTTTTTTTAATAAAACAATAATATTAATAATTTAAATAATAAAAAAAAAATTCTTTCTAGTTCATAAGCCGGAAATTAAATCAAATCACGAATTCGTGTAAAAGTATCTACTTGCGAGGGCTTAAATCAATATTAACTCTCATCCGAACGCCACGCTAAAAGTTAACTAATTCTTCTTTTAGTTGTTTAGTATATGTATATATATATATATATATATATATATATATATATATATATTATAGGTATATACTAAGTATACTTTAAATGTCGTACATTATCGTACCATTTATCTGATTATTTTTTCTCTTATTCTTTTGTACAAGATGAGTTGCGTTCGGTAAATGTCATCGAAACCCGCAGGGGAAAATTAGTTTATTGTATTAGTGGGTCCGGACGTGCGTAAAGTTGGTTGATTCCAATTTACGGGTAGATACAGAACTTAAGTCACCCAAGTAAGTACGTGTAGGGGGAAAAACGTTTTCAGGAATGTCCCAAAGCCTATCGTGCTTTATGCTATATATATATATTTTATATTTCCGCCAACGCGCACTTGACACTGTACTGGTCCATATACTTTCCACCTGATAATAATAACATTAGTTTAGTATATATACATGTAAAGCTGTACGGCGATCTAGCAAAACTCTCGGATGACAGGTTTTCCATCATCGGCGATTTTAATAAGATCCAATTGATCGATGGCGAGTAGAGAAATTTCCAAAACATTATTACAAATAATAGATACAATATTAACAGTGATAAAAAAAAGTTAATTTATAAGTATACGAAATATATCATAATAGGTATAATATTGCTTTTTATTGTTAACGGTTGTTAATTATCAATAGTATTACTTAGTGAAAACAATATAGTATTATACAATAATAATATAATATATATTGCTATAATGTGTAATCACAAAAGCAGTTATTAAAAAAAAGCCGAAGCGGTTTATTTATTTGTTGTTTCTATAAAGTGTGTTTCTGTTATTAGTTATTGCTACCGTTCAGTGTAATAATATAATATGTTATTATAATATTATTACTTATCACAATCGGTATTTCATTCGAGAACAATAACAATGCCGGATTTAATACAGTAGGAAATTTGTAAGAATGGAATCTTATTTGTCTTACTCAATACTCATTGACGCAAATGGTATGTTTAATAGTATACCTATTTAGTATACATATTAGTGCATGGGAAAATGTTACAATTTTTTATTTTATATTCAACGAACTATTGAAACATTTGGATTAATTAACACCTTCATAAGCTACATAGTTTACTTAATTTTAGTTTAATTTTTTTAGAATTGCTCGTCTAGATCAGAACAGTTATTCTGCCTCTCTTAATAACTACATAAAAAGGGTTAACCGTATGGTACAAGTAAATCTTGTTAAGTGCATTGTAGGGCGTAAATACTTAAGTATTTATTTTTCTAATTTTACGGTAGTATAGAAGATTGAAAAACAAAACCTTTGTTTTTCTTCTGGGGTAGTAAAAATGTCCTCTTGTTTGTTTCTAACAGATAAGCCATCCACTGATGTTTGTAGCAAAAACAAAACGAAATTTCTAAACATTTACCATACAAACAATAAGACTATTGGCAAAATCGCAGAACCGTCCGACCCAAAGTTTTGACAAAGTTAATCATCACTAAATGTAAAGTAGACTTGCGCCGACCTAAATAATTTTAAATTTTGCTCCAAAAATGTTTGTGTCCAACTTATATAAATGTTTTTGCAACTTTTATCATGTTTACATTATTATAAGGATAAAAAGAAAAAAGCTTTTATATAACGGTGTATAACAATTATTACTTAGATAACTGCCGATAAAGAACGGTATGGAGGTGACGGCCAGCACGAAGGATATCCATGTGAATACTAGCCCGCCTTTGCTTTTTTCTTCGTCCTCGGGATCTATACAAATAATCACTTTCAGACAATCTTTATAATAATTGCCACCGTTCAATAAGACTTACACATAATATTATATTGTTTCCTATGAACGCGTCGTCGCACTGTCGATGGGACGACCGCCGGTCATTATTTCACAACGATCAGCTTGACAAGATATTAAAATTCCGAAATGTTGTGGTGTATGTAACTTACGGTGTGTACGGTTATACGTGAAATTCAATACTAAATACATTTTATAAGAGAATGCACCGCGCGGTCAGTGAGTGTGCTGCTACTGCTGTCAGTGAGCTCTTGTTATCGCACCGGTGGCATGACCTTTGTGGCGATAAATCCAGAAAACAGGGCTTGTGTTGAGAATTTTACATATATATACACATTTATTGTAGCGTTTAAAAGGCTATAAACGCACTTAACCCACGCAAAACAATAGCAAAGAACAAATCGTTTACTGCCGGCTATCGAAAAAACGACGACGGCCGTTACTGTTAAAAAATATTTTGTTTTATAGTAATTTTAGTGTATGGACCTTCAAAGGCGTCGCTATTATATTCGATAAACATCTACGTATAGTCGAAACGGCATTTTAGTAAATTTTCCAATCTTCCCTTCGCCATTGCTGTGGTGAATACGTTTACAGTTGCTTTTGGAGAGAAACGTACATGAACATCATCAGCTGAATCGCGAGTACCTAAACACGAATACATTTTAGACTGTGGGGGCATATTTCAACCGAAGGGAGTTTATTTCAATCCTTGGTCTTGTTTGCGTGCTTTGCCGGGCAAGGCCGAGTGACAGTATACATTTGATGTGCAAACTGGGAGACCAAAGGATTGAAATAAAAATCTGAACAAATTAGAGAAATATTTTTTCATTATCTGGAGCCGAACGACGGCTATCCAACGCAATATCAAATTTAAGCACCCCACCCTAATGCACATATTATCAAATTTGTACACTTAACCCTTAAAGAATTTATAATTGGATGTTCAAAATTAGTGATGTTATTATGTAATAACTAATGTCCGATTAATTTGTGTGGTGGTATCAATTTGGCGGGAATAAAAATAATACTGTTAAAGTTATAACTAAAATCGCTAACTCTATCATAGTGTGCAAATTTATTATTTATGTAGTAGTATTTTCATATTTTATTTTTAAAGTGAGTAATTAGTTTGGTATAACACTTGTTATATGCATTTATATGTTTTTAAAAATGTGTGAAACGTATAATTAACTTTGTTTATTTTGTACACAACAAAATACAATTATAATTTTTGGTATTTATCTTCTTCTTAAGAAAATTACTTACACTTATTTCAACGTAACACAGAACACTGTTAGGTATTCAAATGCTTTTTTGTTGCCATATATTTTACAAACAGAACGTTGCTTGCGCGTGATTTGAAAACAAATCTCGTTACCGAATCAATAAGAAAGGTTTGATTAAATAAAGTATGGAAAAATTATGATTAAAAAGTTAGTCATAACATGGGCAAAATATGTTGTATGTATGATAAAAAAGAAATTATTATAAAAAATGTATAGTTCATTTTGTTGATAATTAAGTATAGATAAATAAAATTAGTGATTAAACATAAATACATAGATAGATCACAAAGATCACTTGACGACACGAACTAATTGATTAAATAAATCGGCAAAATCGGCTTAAAAAGGCTAACAAAACTTATAAGGCTGCGTCCACAATATAGGTAAATGACGTTGAGGTTGCATCAAAGTATATAACACGGCGTAGTCTATCTATAGTATTTGTTATGTATAATAAAAGTAGAATATTAATTTATTTCCAACAAATCAATATTCACAACACAATGTTCTTAAATATAATAACATCACGTTTGATTTACTTGAAAGTGAATGACTAAGAATTAAAACATTAAAATGTATTTTGTGTTTGTGTATTTTTTTTAATATTAAAAAGCATCGAATGACAATTGTTTTTAGTAAGTGTTGATTTCGCCATCAAACGCTACTGTTTATGTATTTTTGAAAACAATTGAAAATAAAAATTAATTTTTTGAGTAATCGAAAATTTAAATACGCTAAACGCAGGTATAGTTATCCTTTGTTTACTATGAAAATTTCGTGTTTTTACGACAGTTTCATAACAATTTGATTACGTTTTGAGCAAAACTATTTTGATAGAAAACAAGTGTAATTTTGTCTATAGAAATTATTGCGATCAGCGATAGACTGACATAAAGAGCAGTAAATTAATTTTGCAAGATTTGAAAAATACTCGTACAAACGTACGCATGCACGTACGTGTTAGCGAGTTAAAGAAAAGCATGTAAAAATTATAAAAGCCATCTAGATTTTATCGAAACCATATATTTGTTGTCAAAGCTTTGTATTATATCTATACTTAACATAGTCTATAAAAATATAGCCTGTTGATAATATACAAACTATTCACATCATCAAACTGCTAAGTACATTGCGACTAAGATGATTTAATGTCGAGAAACCACACAGAAGTGTTAATTTAATCTGTCAATCAATCATTTTGGATTGATCACAATGTTGAGTCTCTAGTATATTCTTACAACTAATATGATCTCATGCGTTAACACTGTACAACATGTTTAATATTATAGTGTATTTCCTATTTTATAGAAATAAGAAACTATAGAACTTACTTTTAAGAGCACCAGTTTCAGAGAATTTGAAAGACGGAATGGGGGGGGGGAGTAATAAATTATTAAGAGAGAGAAAGAGAAAATGGATAAAAATACACATTGAATGCGTGAAGATTTTATAAATTTATTTAAATTTTTTATTTACTAAAATATATATAGGGCCAAATATTCGTAGTGTCTACCATAAATAAAAAAAACATGATTGATTTTCAATTTATCACTAAAATGATTGCGTTATTTTAAAGTGTATTTAAACAAATGTTCACTTGGTCTTTATTAGCAATAATAATAATAATAATGATAATAATTATTATTATAATAATAATACATAAATAAAATAATAATATTTTATAATAAAACTTAATGTTTGGCTTTTACTGATTATTTGTTACTGAGTAACAAATAATCGATATAATATTACTTATAATGAATACAAGTCAAAACTTACTTAACTTTTTTACATTTATAAGAACAGTAAAGTTTTGTATTAGCTAAGCACGATGTTTTCATTGCAGCATTTCAGAAAAATAATGATTATTTATTCGAATTTAAGATTGGCCAGAAAAATAAAACTTAAGCACAACTTTTGATAATACTATTTTTTTTAAACGAATTTGGTATGTTGATTTATTATTTCATTGAAATGGATTTTATTTTATTTATCATATGTACTTGGCTACAATATAATACCTTGAAAAATAAAATACACCCCCTACGAATTGGATTCTGAACTTTGGTATGTACTCTTATAGCCTTGTAAATTAATTTAATTTGAACAAATTGAAAAACACAAGGTTTAGAGAAATTCTTATAATGAAATTAGATAATTAAATTATTTGTCGTTTCCTTAATGACATTTTAAAGGCTTCAAAATCCTATTCATCGATCCTTTGATATTAAAGAATTGGACGTCTATAGATTAAACATTAACTGTATGGTGCAGTAAAACTTTATCAAGTGTTTCAATATAAAATGAGTTACAAACCCAACGAGGTCATTGTATAAATTGCATAATAATAACACTAAAAAGTATAAATTTGTGTAGTTATTGTTATTGTTTTGTTGGAAACAACAAAACAATACTTACAAAATGATACAATCTTCATAATTTTAAATTAAAAAAAAATATTATTTAAGGAGAAGCAAATGTATTTGTACTTAAGCATACTATAATCAGGTTTAGAAGTATATAACATATTTAAAATAAGAAAATACGTTAAAATGTTTATTAATGTTTATCGTTTTCTACACTTAATAATGAAACTCCTGAAAATCAACTTTTATTAATGTGCTCGTTCGGTTCTTATTGAATATAATATGATTATTTGTAATAATATATTCTGTAATTTAAAAAGATATTTGGAATCCTTAATTTTAGAATGCGTGAATTTGTTCCTTATTGCTCAACGTTAGTTCAGAGTTGACCAATATTAAAATGTTCAGCTTTTTGAAAATTCCGAAACTAAATGCTTTAAAACAGGATTTTTTAAATTTAAAACAAAACAGTTAAGGTTTTCAACACCCAATTTAAAAATAAAATTATCGGAAACAACCAGATTTTTTTTTTAACTGGTATTAATTTTTTTTTTGGCCGATATAAATTTTATATTTTTATACTTAACCGTAAAAACCATAAACGGTATTCTATACATTATACTTAGGTACTTTGCTTAACCAGTAGTTGGCTATATTTTGCATAAATTTTACAAAAAAAACCGCGGATAACGTATACATAGCGTTTATTTTTACAGTATTATGATTCTATTTCGAACAATGACCAGTTTATCGTCGTTCATGATACAGCGGCTGTTATGTAGATTCGCTAATCGCCTAACCGATCCCATGACAAAAAAAAAAAAATATTAAAAAAACTATAAGAAAATCAGGATTTTTTTTTCAGGGCTCGTTTGGCGGGATTTGGTCGACGTCGAATGCGCAGATGTGCCACGTGACCGGCAGAGCGAGCGGCACCAATTGAAAATGTCCTGTGCGCCCTGTGGACTTACACTGTGAAAATCCAGTAGAAATTCGACACTTAACCGTGCGTACTACCGGTACACGCGTGACGTTGCCGCCGTCTTATCGTTTCTCAAGACCACCACCACTGCCCGTTAACTGTTTTGACAAAAGTAAATCGTTCAATTAGTTGTTTAATATTTTTTTCGTTATTTAATTGTTAATTTTTTTTTTCGATTTTATCCCCAGTTTTTTTGTTTTTAATCGAGTTTACCGCGTCAGGTGACGTTAATTTCATCGTTATCGTTCGGTTAGTTTTTCATTTTTTTTTGCTCGGGTCCATCCGATTTGACAAGGCGCTAAGCGGATTCACTGCTGTCACTAACGGTAATACGCTATAATACCTACTATTTTTCTTACAACCAAACGGAAACGGAAATGGTTAATATCAACGATAGCACGAGCACGGTCGAGATCAACCGAATAAACATAATATTGCATTACTTGACCGAATCAAACGCAAAACTAATTGTTCCTTATCATACGCGAAAGAATTACAAATATGTTAATTAGCTGTCGTTCATTGTGACGTTTTAACTTACATTTTCGGTCCGTGGTTAATCAAAATAAAACGATAGCAAAATATTTATTTACGTATTATGTGCGGGTTTGTGGCTGTAAAATGTAAATCTAAGGGTCTGGTGATAAAAGGCCATTAGACGAGTTCGAATTTACCCTTAATACACTTACGTCAGTCATAAAATTTATACAGTTCAGCCCTTAGGCCTGTCTCTCGCAGAATGCAATCTCAGAAGGAGTCACGCCATATAAATATATACGTATAATGCAAAATTATATCTAATAACCATTTAGCTGAATCGTCGATAAACAGACGAGGTAGTTTTATTGTAGAATGAATGTTCCTATGGTTATCTAAACACTTAACAGTTAACCATACAAATTTGTTTTTAAATTTAATATAATAGTTCTTAATGATAAGAAGTAGAAACATTCATTTTTGGAACTGTCCTGACTATTCAAATATTTAGTCAGACCTACTGATGGTGTATAACACTAAAATGGTCTAATTATTCCTATTGTATTTTAGTCAATAATGAAAATACAAAAACTATTTCAATAATTAAAATAATTTATTTCATTGTTTGTCTAACCTTGTCTATAAAAACCATAAAAATCGTTAAGAATTTGGTTGAGCTTTCTTAGACTGTTATAGTATTGACATTAAGATATTTACAAGATAAACAAAATAGAATTCAAAAGCAAGGTTTTATTTGATTTACTAGAGGAAAAATAAATAGCGAGTCAGCGACTTATGGCATCTGACGTATACTGGAAAATGTAAGTACACGATTGAACGTAAAACCTAACAAAGTTTATTATATTAACTTCTTTTGAATCCCATATAACGATTTCAATGGAAGATTAAATTGTTTAGTTTCCGGTCTCGATATTTGTTGGAAACAACAATTGGTAGTTTAAGGAGTGTATAAAGTTATGAACTATTGTCTGGATAACACAATATTTTGTGTTATTTTTTTAAGTATCTATTCTTTGTTAGAGCTATTTTGTATATATACGTTTGTTTTCAAGATTTATTGGTAACGTTTCAACTATTTGGAATTTGACTAAAAAAACCCGTGGTTAAAAATGTTTTATAAGTTATTAATGTTTTAAAACCAAAAAAAGAGTTTTCTACACTAATTGATGGAATTTAATTAACATTAAGAAATTCTAAAATATCTCAAGGTTCTTTTAAACAAAATTATTTATGACTCAACTGTAGGTAAGCTTTAAATTACCTAATAACATTTTTTTCCTACTAAAAACGACGTTGGTAGTTATAGTAGATTATTTATGATAATGGTATTTAAAGCACTAAGGTATTTAAACCCTTATTGCTTGGTTTCTCTTTATTAATGGTTCTCTTGAGTTTACTAAAACAAAATACTTACAAAAAAATGATTATTTTGTGTTACTACTGATATATCAGGACGTACAAATTATACAATTCATACACTAGGTTTGTTTAGAGTTTAGATTGATATTTTACAACATTTTTAAATGTTACAATAATTATTATTGATGTGATATTATACTTACAACATTCAATAACATAAAATGTATTACAAAAACTATTACACTTTTAATATAACTATGTATTTAATTGATACATATTCATATTTTATTCTAGAAATTATACTCTATCCACGAAGATTTTTTATTAATAAATGGAATATTTTTCTAAAACGTTTTTGCTTAAAAGTTATAAGCCCAGTATAAAACGTAAAATATTTGTTTTTTTTTTATTTAAAAATATGATTTTGTTTTAAGAAGTTTTTTTAAAAATATTTAGTAGGGTCGTCACAAAAAGTTATTTATGTTATCTTCGTTAACTGGATGACTATTATGGACTGGATGTTAAAGGAGTCGTTTATTGATATGTTTTAAGTAATTATGCTTATTGATTTATTATTAATATTTTTTTTATCAAACCCTAATTATAGTACAATTTGTATGCAATTTTGTTTTACAATAAGCATTACAGATAAAAAAATAATAACATGAATTAGCTTGAGTATAGAAGTAGTTTACTCCATAATAATTTCTTATATTGTTTTCAATATTATATTTTACGTTCGCTTGTTTGTACAGCGGGCGATAGCTCTACTTTTACTGACCTTGGAAATTATCATCTAAATTGTATAAAAACCTCACAAGGGTAATATTTCCATAAAAAAATATATGATCTTTGGAATTGTAATAATTATAATTAAAATTATTAGATTTGAAATAAGTTGTTCCAGTATAAAAAAACGAAATCGTAGTGTATTATTAATGTAATCATTTTTGTTATTTTGTAATTTATTCCAGATGGATCAAGATGAGGAACCGAAACCAGAAAACAAACGTCGGCAGTCCCTTAGTATCGATAAAGCAGCGTTTTTATTGCTCCGGATTAGACGAGTATTCAAAAAAAGAAGTCAGAGCCAACAGATCGAGAAAAGGTTTTTTTTTTAGTTATTTTAATTTCATATAAATAAATGTATATATACATGTATACAATATCCATAGTGTAATTGAAAGCAATACATCATTTTATCTTTATTTATATAAAAATATTATACCAGACGACTACTTCGAGTACGATTTATTAGGGCCACTAGTATATTTTGCTCGAGTAGCGTTTTATTTAAGTTTCCGTTTTTCCAGAAAAACAGTTTTTAAAAGGTTTTGAATAAAATTAGAATACTATCAAACTCGAGTAGCCTATTCTTCTTTTTTTTTTTACCTGGTATTCTTGATTAAAAAAAAAAAAAATAAATAAATGCATCATTTAAACAATATAGTATAGCCTTTAAATTTTAGATTACGTTTCATTATCGTACAACGAAATTACTTTTTATATTTACTTTGAATTATCTGTAAAAATAAACACAATGAGCGATTCGCATGAAACATTTTAACTCAAATATTTAAACTGAACTGCGCAAAAAAGATCATACACAGTGATAAAAATGTGATTTCTCCAAGCCATCCATTTTATTATGAATTTTAAACGGACAAGACTCGAGAACCTATAGACCGCCAATTTCAATAGTTGCTGTAATATTTCCACTTTAGATTGGACTAAACAAATATTTTGCAACGTATTATTTAGGAATTTAAAGTTATGTTTATGCATTTCTAGCTACATTTTATAATGGTTTGGTAAAGTCTGTAGTTAACTTGTTTATTACCTTTAACCGTATTTTCCCGTCATAAGTTTACAATACTTGCGTGCACTTAACAAAAACGATTTAGAAATATTTTTTTGTAAAGAAATGTATTAATGAACTAGAAATGTTAAAGGTTTCAGATCACCGATTATCGATAATGTCGTTACAACAATTTAAGAAACTACGTTGTAATCGTACATATAACTATCCTTAAAACATATTGAGATTAAAGCTAAAACTGGGGTTTAATGTGTCGTAAAAGATAATTCAAATAAAATAGGTATGGAGATCATATTTTGTGTTAAAAATATAAAAACATTTTTTTTGTGGGCGTAAGTGGAATATTATAGTTTGTTTCACTGTAAACTCATTACATCTTAATACTGTCACATTGCGTCCTGTACGGCTTGAGTGATTAAATTAAATACCTGTCCCATATTTATTAGTTTTAACAAAAACGTTTTAATTACCTGTTCCCCGTATAAATGCATTTACAATAATAACTAGGTAATCGTTAAGATAAAATATTGTAATACTTGAAAGTTTATGGAAATAAAATATGTTCAAGTAAAATAAAACTAATTTAAAGGGTTTTCTGGATTCATAATACATTCCACTGTCATTCTCAAACCTCTCAGTAGTCAGTATCTCAGATAAATAGAATCAGCTGGTCTAATTTCCATCATTCACGCTTGACGATTTCGTAACCATTCCCTCTCTCGAGACGCTAAAGCATTCATTTAATAAGGCAGACGTGGCGTGTAATATAATAGACAATATTCCGCCAAAACTTGACGTGAATCCAAAATGAATTAGGTCAGGTGGGATAAATGTAAACCAATGGGGAAAATGCAAATGTAACTTTTTTTTTTATGGGATCAATTTTTTTATTTCAATACGTTTCTATACACTAACATATTGTGTTACAATAATGTATGTACATATGTATGTACGGGATTTGAAATGTTATTATTTTAATCAGATTTCTCTCGCAAAGTTAAAGTGGATTTAACACGCTTTATTGTGTATTTTTATCTAATTTCAAACGTCCACAAACATCATTTATCTTTTTCTATCCTTTCATAAAGACATAAAATAATTAATTAAATGAAACAATTAATTTAATGAAAAAATGCGTATGTTAATGAATTTCGCCGGTTCGTGCGTTTATTATTAATTAATAATTAATCCAATTCTAGTTTTAGTAATTAAATACAAAATAATTAGACACGTTATAAAGGATTCACATTTTTCACACATACCTAATAACTTGTACAGGGCATTATTTTATCATGGGCCACTCAATATCTCATAGGGTTTATTACAAAATTAAAATGTTTTATTTTTATATTGTTTTTATAAAATGTAATTTCAATTTTTCACAACTTTTTTGTTTTTACCCCCTCCCCCAAGAAGCTATCAAAAAACTAGGTTGGGAAGGGGGTAAAAAATAAAAAAATTGTAAAAAAAATATGAGATCAATTTGTATAAAAACATCAAGAAAATAAAATTTCTTTACAGTATTTACATGACTTGAGGTTACTCTCACTTGGATGTCTAGACTAGTTTCGCCAACGTTTCGGAACATTTGCACGTTCCATCTTCAAGGCTGTGGTTCGATGTTGCTCTTACCGCGCTCTCCTGCAGACTGACCGATTCGCTTTCGTGGGCGTAGGTTATATACCATACCCCCACCGCATTATCCGCTTCCTCTTGCCGCTGCCAGCTGTTTTCTATGGCCACGCCCCTTCGCCTTGGCCGGCTACCGCATGACAAAGAAACCGGAGACCAAACGGGACGAAGAGAGCCGGAAATACAGCAAGTGACTATTGATAACGGTAACGAAAATCAGTCATGCGGTAGCCGGCCAAGGCGAAGGGGCGTGGCCGTAGAAAACAGCTGGCAGCGGCAAGAGGAAGCGGATAATGCGGTGAGGGGTATGGTATATAACCTACGCCCACGAAAGCGAATCGGTCAGTCTGCAGGAGAGCGCGGTAAGAGCAACATCGAACCACAGCCTTGAAGATGGAACGTGCAAATGTTCCGAAACGTTGGCGAAACTAGTCAAGACATCCAAGTGGGAGTAACCTCAAGTTTAAATAATTTGTTTAAATTTCTTATTAAACCCTATGAGATATTGTGGTCCACGATAAAAAAAAATCACCCCGTGTGTAAGTGTTCATTTATATTAAATAAAAGAACATTTGTCAATGTTACATATTAATATTATTATAATATTAGTTCTGACGTTTTTAAATGGGTACATAACGTGGTTTTATGCATTTGATAATGCCATTTTTTAGATAAATTACGGGGTTTTTATTTTCTCAACAATTAGAGTTTTATTTTAGAAACTTGTTTCGTGGTTTTGATGATAGTTGCAATGTTTTTGTATTTATGTAAAACTTTTTAATACACAATTTTCTCAAACGCCCATAATCGCAGTCACCGCCCCGGGTAAAATTAAATTGTCGACCTTCTATTCTATTTGCGCAGAAATATTTCCTGTTACCAATTTATTTGAACACACTATAAATATGTTTCTATTTATTGCAATTAGGCTGAGTTTTTAAAACTAACGTTTTACATAATTACTATATCTATTAAGTATAATTTATAAAATCAAAAATTAAATAGCATTTAATATTTGTTTAAATTAAACTTTCATCTGTGACATGCAATTTTCATTGCTGTAGGGAAATACTATTCTCATGTTTAAGGTGATTTAAAAGACTTTGCTATTTTCAATGGAATTGATCCGTGTTAAGGTATATAAATGGGTTTAAACCATGAGGGACAGGGGATTTAGTATAGCAGATTTGTCTATTGTTGTGACAATATTAAGCTTAAGCACCAGCAAGGACGTAAATCTGATAACGGGAATACCGGTATTTGTTGTAAAGGCAAATCTATGGCGTTTTCAGTACAAAGAGCCGTTACATGGACATAAAAACAAAACAAAACGCCGCGTCGGTGCTTGTATTCATCAGGATCATCCGCGGTATCACTGTAGGGTTAAGACAGGACACGTGTAGTTTAAATTGGGCTTATATAAAGTTTTCTTTTCATTACAAGCCCTATATTTGTCAAGTGGCGTTTACTTATAAATCCTGTTTTCAGCGTAGCCTTTGCGTGTAAACACTTCACCATAAAAAATTAAGACGGGGGAATATTTCTTCTAACGATTTATCAATTTATAATATATATGCATGCTTTCGCTCCAAAAACTCATAGCAGTTAAATAGTTTTTGTTGGGAAACATAAAATAGGAAGTTAGAAATTGGCCTTTTTTGAGCACCTATATAATTATTAAATAAATAGATCAGATCTAATTTCAGTCTAATTTTCAATTCTAAAGTTTTTAATAATTAAAACACAATATATTTCTGTTTCTTCTTTATGAAAAAACATGCCTTAATTGAAAATAATTATAACTATGTAATAGGTCTTTTAAGACTCTAGAATAGTTATCGATATTCAAAACCTACTGTAACAAGCCAATTAAATAAAATGAGCCAACAATTGTTAATAAAACCAAATCTGATGTACTTTATTATTTCTTTTGCCAGATCCAGTGTCAGAGTTGAGCTAATGTCGTCAGCCGGAGATTTTGTTTTTCTCCTTAACTATAGGTATTTTGGTCAATTCGGCCCCCTGTACTACACATCACAATAAATATAACAGGGGTTAAATAAAGGTTTTGCTCCCCATACCTCTTCCTTAAGCTCGTTCACAATTTCTCAGTATTGTTATCGGGTTTTTCGTTATACATTTTGCGATTCTCAAAATAAAGTCAAACACATAAAATAGATACACGTTTCTATCTCTCCGTATAATAAACATGATAAAGATGAAATCTGGACATAGTGGGTATGGAATATAGTAGGGTGGGCTAGAAATTACTATAACTAAAGGTGATTAAATTACTTTTAAATTTCGCTTCGATTTTCTCGATCTTTAAGGGAGAGGAATGGAAGGGTCCAAAAGTTTAAACAATTTTTGATAAAGTAACTTTTTTTGTGCAATATTTGATCTATAGACTTAGTACATGAAGAAATCGGCTCAGTGATCAAAAAGAAATCGTGGGTCCAGACACAAAAATAAATCGTAAGACCTTCTCATCTTCGCTTTGAAGCTAAAAGTTTTAAAACTATTGACATCTTTTAGACATTATAAAAATAAACCATAAAATGCTTTGCTAAAAGAAACGTATTCAACAAATTTAGGTAATGATAATTTTATTGGCTTTTTCGTTCCATCTTTCAATTCACGCACTATTGTCCTAGAGT